CCGAAACGAGCTCGGCAGCGACGCGGGGCCCGGCTTGAAGCCAGCTGTTCTGCGGGTTTGAGATGAACGATTTCCCACCCCCTTCGTACATTACGCTGTCGTTGATTTTGCTAAGCTCGATCCGTCCTAGTAGTACCGCCGACTGGCCGTACAGAAGCCCGTCGAGCGCCGATTCGGCTGTTGAGACGAGCCCCTGGGCCATCCGCCGGAAGTTCTGGACCTCGATCCGGAAGCCGTGTAGCCGGAGCGCCTGCTTCCCGTCCTCCCAGATAATCCGTGCTGCCCCCCCTTCCTTCTGGCGGTAGCCCTTTCCGATCGTTAAGAACCGGGTTAGCGTACTGAACGGGCTGTACGAGCCGTCTGCGATCCACTGCCGATAGCCGTCCATAAATACGTCGATATCCCTAGCCTGGAGCTGGCTACGCTCTTCGTCCTCCCCTTCGCCGGAGTCCGTAGTACTATCCTCTTCCTGGATCGGGACGTGCTCGAAGAAGTACTCTAGTAGTAGTACGCGGCTACACCACGCTAGACCCGCTAGTAGTGTTGTAAACTCGGCCGGCGGCCGAAATCGTGCTCGGACGGGGTCGATCGCGAGTACGGTAGTGAAGTGTAGTAGCGGGTTTACGTACGGTTGTACTAGTACCCGCTGCGTAAGCGACAGAACACAGAACGTGAAGACGGCCTCGTCTAGATATCCGTCGTCGCCGCCGCCCTCGCGATTCTCCTCCTCCTCGCCGCCGCCCCCTACCCGGGAGCTCTCCTCCTCCGTACTATCGAGAGCCTCTATAATAGCCTCGAGAGCGGCCCACTGCTGGTCGGTAAACTGGACCTGGTGCTTCCTCCTCGCCTCCGTACGGCCGAGCCGGAAGACCCGGACGCAGTAGCAGAGATAGCGCCGCCAGTAGCTCCGGTACTTCTCCATCGTATGCGCCTCCTGCTTAACGCGGAACGGCCGCGGCGACGGCCGGTTCGGGTCGCGGCTTGCTAGCCAGCAGAGCGTCTCCACGGGTACCTGGCCGATCCGCCGGCTACACCGCTCGATTACCCGGTTGAAGCTCTGGCCCAGCCGTACGAGCGTCGCCTCCGAAGCCTCCCTCTCTTTCCGGACGGACCAGCTTAGTTTAGCTAGCTCCTTCGTCGATAGACCTGGCTCGGCGGCGCGCCGTAGTTCCGCCATATCCTTGCCGGCCAGATGCGCCGCCCAGCCCATCTGGCTCACCCACGGCGACTCATAGTCGACGCCGGCCTCGTAGTCGATAATCCGGCCCCGCTCCGCCTCTTCGGCGGCCGCTTTAGCCTCGTACGCCGCCATGTGGGCCTCCCAGACTTGACCTCCGCCGCCGCTGTCCGGCCCCGCTGCCGCCTCTGGGGTCGCCTGCCGCCCTACCGCTAGCGCTTCTACAATCCAGTACCGCGTACGGCGCCTCGCTGACGAGAACGACTGTAGCTGTACCTCGTTCCAGCGCGCGTAGCCCGTACCTAGCGAGCCTTCGCAGTGGCTAGTATCGCCGTCGGCTGCTTCCCTCGCCTGGTGCTTCTGGACCTCGTCCCGGCTCCTCGTTACGAACCGGCACGCCCTACAGCGGAATCCGGAGTGGACCTGGAGCTGCGGGATAGCTGGACTACCGTCTGCCGGTACCTCTGCTTCGTGCGGCTCTACGAGCCCTCCACGGCCCTCTACTGCTGCTGCTGCTACTGCTGCCGCCGATTTGACTGCCCGTAGCTGGCCGCCCTTAAGCTGGTGCCTCTGTCGGTAGTGGGTAACTACACCACCTACGGCCGCTGCGATTCCTGCCCTACATAGTGTGCAGACTAGTACGCGGCTTGCCCGATATAGATAGAGCTCTGGTGTTACTGCTGGCTCGGTCGTTGCTGTAGCTCTCGCGTCCTCCTGCTGCTGCTGCTGCCGCTGCTGCGCGGCGCTGCCGTAATCGCTCTCGTAGTCGTCTCCCTGGCTGCTGCGGTCCATCGTGGAGTACTACCTGTCGTATGCGATTCTCTTCTCGGTACTACTTCTGATCTTCGACTCTTGCGTATATTCTTGGGAAGAGACCCTAAGCTAGTATTATAGTTCAATCGAAATGCGCGCGCGCGTCCGTTTCATTCTCCTCCTCCCTCTATCTCCTCTTACGCGCGTCCCCTCTCCCCTTTAGACTCCCCGGGCTCGCGCTGTTACGCGTACGCGCTTATCTCCTTTTTATTACCTATTACTTACCTTGTCCCCCTTTTCGCGGCAGTGCCTAGCCGTACACGCGTAGCTGAGCTGGGGGGGTTAAGGTTCGGACCCCTACTAGTTAGGGTTGGGTTAGCTAGGGGTTAGCACATTTACGCTGGCCGGAATGAACTCAGGGTACCGGAATGAACTTAATAGCCCGTACCCTTCCGGGCCGGGAATGACCTACCTCCGCCGCCGAACTACTACCGCCGCTAAACTACTATACCTCTGCCGAACTACTACCGCCGCCGAACTGCTACCGCCGCCGCCGCCGACCTACCTGCCGACCTCTGCCAGCCTGCCACGGCCAGACCCTATATATCCAAATAAGCAGCCAGTCTCTTAAGAACAAACAGGCCCGGTGGTCAAGCGGTAAGACGTCGCTAGCAATTGCTAAGCGGAATCCCTGGTTCAACTCCGGGCCGGATTACTGCGCCTACTTGAGAATCTCTTCGTCTCGTAGAGATTCTCAAGTGGGTAGCTCTTTTTGCCGGCACCCCTTCCTCCGCTTCGGAGGTATTTTCGCTATGTTAACTACCTGCCGACCTGCTACCGGCTCCGACGAACTGCCACTACTCCGCCGACCTGCTACCGCTGCCGCCGAACTACCTGCTGACCTGCCTGCCGGCCTGCCTGCCGACCAGCCTGCCGACCTGCCTGCCGACCTGCCTGCCTGCCTGAGCCTTATATATCCAAATAAGCGACTGACTATTCAACAAACAGCCAGAGAGCCTCGCTGGTCTAGCGGTCATGACGTCACTGCTATATAGCTCTCCATTCCCACGTCGGCCGCAGGAATAAGGGTCCCTGACCTGAGCTTGTGGAGCCATCCGACCCGGACGCTCGAGCTAGTCACAGTTGAAGAGCTAGGTTCGACTCCTAGGCGTGGCATTTTTTTGGCCCTCCTCTCTCTGCCTCTCTCTTTTGCGCGCGCCTCTGCCTGCCTGCTTGCTCTGGCAGTCGACGCGCCTCCCTCGTCGTCGTGCGGCCTGTGCATGTACGCATATGAGGGCGCGACTGGGCCCCACAGGTTCGGACCCCTGCTAGTTGGGGTTGGGCTTGGGGTTGGGTTAGCTGTGGGTTAGCCCATTTTTCGCTGGCCGGAATGAACTCAATCTGGGGTTAGTTGGGGTACCGGAATGGACTCAATGGCCCGTGCCCCCGGCCCCCTGTCCCACCAGGAATCGCCGAAAGTGAGGCCAACCCGGCCGGGAATGATGGTCAGGTCGTTGCACATCGCAGCGCTCTGCCGATGCCGATCTCCGGGCATAGCATGGAGCCCGACTGCACAAGCCCATTCTCAGCTGGTGTCAGTGTCGGCACCACGTGCTGGAGAACAGATCTGCCAGATCCACATCACATCACGTTGTGTTGCCTTGAGGAGCTTGGCGTGGGGATGGCTAACCTGAAGCTGGGTCATCAACCCTATACGGAATTTGATAAGACTGAACATTCACACGTGGATTTTCTCTTTGTTCTTCCAAGACTTGAAACTCCACAGGGAAACCTCGTGAGAGCGACTCGCGCGTCGGCCAATCAAGAGCAGATTGGCGCCACAGATTGCCACTAGTCAATGATCTGCTTCTCCTTTTCTGTATCAAGCGGTATCCGACAATGCTCGCTTCTCAGCTTCTCCTAGCCCTAAGCTTACCGGCTATCCTCTCGATAGTTGCCGAGCGTTGCCTCTCAGCCACGAGTCAGTCCAGAACTACCCCAACGACAGGCAGCACTATGACGTGCTCCTGAAACCCTAAAGAGATTGCTGGAGTCGATCATTATGGTCTACTATCGCCCCCGGGGCCCGCCCTCTCAACCATCTGAAGCCTTTCCTGTCTCGCTGATCGCGTAGTGGTGCTGGTGTTCGCATGCGGTGGTGACCTTCTAGTGTTTGGCCCGAGATTATGCTGGTGTATGGGACATATTCGAGTGCCGGCGCGGAGAAAAGCCTCCCGCCTTCTATTGGGGAATATAAGAACGTTGCCCCGAGCCCAGACGAGATGAGCCCTGAATGGGCCCTGAATGGGGCTCCTGTTCTGATGGCGACCCCCTTTTCTCTTCGCACGTCGCTTAAGCAGCTGACTCGGAATGGGATAGGTAGGAGCAAGGAGCTGTTCGAATTTTCTCTCGAGGTGGTTACACAACAGTTAATGAATACTAACTTAATTTTTATATTACAGATTAATAATCGCCGCTGAAGCAAGCCGAGTCGGCTGCTCCGCGCTGACCGTGTCACTTACCCCCCTGGGGCTTGCGTGCTTATCCCGGTCAAGGGATGTCCAAGGATGAATACCGACTCGCTGGGCTCCGCGTGGTTGTCTGCCCTCCTGATCGACACAGGGAGGGAGGGACCGGGGCCATCCCCATTCGCGGAAGGGTCTCCGGCGTCAGCCCTCCACAACGCAGATCCCCCGCCATCTGCCGGGATCCGGACCCGCAGTGTGTCGTTTGTGGAGCAGCCGTTTGAGCAGAATATTGGGCCAAGCCAAGTCAGTTCGGGGTTCGAGGCGAGGAGTGTTGGCTGTGTCTGTGCAGCGCTACTCGCTCGAACTAGACCTCTAGTGTCATGCATGCAGGACCGACAAGCTGACACGGCTGGCACGCTAATACAGCAGGGGACCCCTGTGGACCAGGACTTTTGAGACGCACCTCCGTAGACAGGGCGGGCGCTCCAGGGCCCATGGTATTGTGGCACCTTGATTAAAAATCCGGAGAGGCAATTCTGGACGACGATCTCCTGTGCGTTTCTTTCGTTAATAAAGTCTCCTAACCACTTCCCGGATCTTAGCCCACAGTTTCCCACTTCAAATGCTGTAGTTGTTATCTTCGCCCAGATTTTTTGCTGAACTGTTGGCGTCAATTTTGTTCCTCCCAAGTCTATGCTCTGCGTCTGAGGCCTGCACGCGCAGATATGGAGCAGTCCATGAGCCCCGAAGACCTGAAGGCGGATATTGGCTCTTCCCTGCAGGGTACCACTACGGCGCTGCTCGCGCTGGCTACCCTTTTCTCCGGGTTGAGGTTTTGGGCGCGGTATGCCTTGAGGGCGTCGTTTGGCAGCGACGATTGGATGGTGGTTGGGGCATTGGTACGTTGGTCTCGACACTGGCAGCGATACAAGCTGGCTCACGGACAGGCGTGCTAACGAATTGGATGCGAAGGTTTCGGTGTTTGTTACGGGTGCCATAAACTACGCTAGTAAGGGCTCGACACTTCCGGTCGTGTCTGTCGGAGAATGGACTTGACAGCTGACTTCTAAGTGATCTCATATGGCCTCGGTCGCCACGCTGGGACATTGTCACAGGACGACCTGGTCTCGTTCTTCAAGCTGCTCCTCGCCTTTGAGTGCGTATATGTCACGGCCGTGATGATGGTGAAGCTCGCAGTGCTGGCGATGTATCTGCGTATCTTCCCATCCCACGGCTTCAGAACCGGGGCGGCTATGATTGCCAGCATCGTCGTCGCATGGTGGATCGCAATCGTTGCAGTCTGCATCTGGCAGTGCAATCCCATCAAGAAGGCTTGGCTGCCGTGGATTGAGGGCACTTGCATCAACCTGAAGGCCTCCTTCATCGGCAACGCCATTCCGAACATCCTCACCGACGTGGCTATCCTCGCCATGCCAGTCGGACAAGTCTGGAAGCTGCAGGTTACTCTCGCGCAGAAGGCATCGTTGCTCTTCATTTTTTTGTTGGGAGGCTTGTGAGTCCATTTCCAGGCGACACGCTCCTACCTTCTGGTGTGACGACACGCTGACTTTGGCTCACAGTGTCCTGTTCGCCTCCATCTACAGATTCACGACGATCATGCAATTTGATATCTTGGACACCACCTTCAGCCTCGCAACGGCATGCACGTGGTGCGTGGTCGAGGTTTCCTGTGCCGTCATCAGCGCCTGCCTGCCGACGCTTCGGCCGCTCATGTCCAAGATCTCGTCCCAGTTCGGCAGTCTGACAGGCAGAAGCCGGCCAAGCGAGAATAACTCAAGCCGTGTCACAGAGCTGGTCACCATTGGCGGAACCGGTGGCCAGCGCAGCCAGCGCGGCAAGCTTAACCAATTCCAACGCATCGAGCACGACCCGTACGGTATCTCGACCGTCGTAACACGATCCCAGTCTGCCGAGAAGGTCAACAACAGCGACAAATCTTCTGCTGAGAGCATGCCGAAGTTGGGAAACGGCATCCGAGTTGCCATCACTCACGGGGTGCATCGGACAGCACGAACTGAGACGGGATCTAGCCACAGTCAGGGCTCAAACTATCCCCTCTCGGGCCATAATGTGCTCTGAGACATGGCCAAAGTCATTCCTGTAATTATCATGTGTACATGCTGGTTTCCAGGGTCCATGTTGGGCGAATTCGATGCCCTGGACGTGGAGAGTTTTTAGTAACCAGCGCTTCTGCCTGATCAAACAAGTCAAACTATCTAGCTAGGAAATAAATATCTTAATATATGTAATATCCTCGTATGGTGATCCGGATCACCGTGATCCAGATTGCATTCCTGGGATCGCGCTTTTATTCCTATTGGTCCATCGGTCCGACTATTGTTCCGTGCGATGGCTGGCTTCGTGGGCTCTCGTCTTCTGTCGGGCCGCTCGACCTCACAGCCTTGTTTCGTCGTCGTAACAATCCACGGTAATTTTAAGTGAGTCTGTTTTGTCGGTTTAGCACTAATGTAGCACCGTACCCTATCGAGGCGGTTAAGATTGCACATAATAGCATTTACCGCTCGGCGTTGGCCGCTTTCTGTCGTTAGCGCGAGTCATGGTCTTTAGCCGTTTATTTCAAGGTGCTGACGGCTAGGGCGTTCTGCAGACCTCCAGCAGGGCTAAATATCGCCTTGTCCTGGTTGGATTGGCTGTGTGGTGCCTGACCCATAGTTTTCCCATGCATGCTCCTTTATTTAGCAGGATCAGTTCGGCTGAGGATTCATGGCTCGGAGTTTGGGCAAGATTGGTGTGACGGAGCGTCCATGAGGCTGGGGATAAACGACTCTAGGCGGGCGAAGGGCTCCGCCGATATTCCCTGGATGGTAGCAAACAGCAACGAGGAAACGCGGTCCTAAATCAGGGCGTGACTGGCCCGTTAACAGAGTGCGTTGGTTCCCCCGAGGACGCCTTTCCCTTCGGATGAGTCCACTTATAGTTTGAAGTTGCATTAGCGTCCTTCCAAAAGTACTCTACACCTCTACAGGCTCGCAATGGGGTCGATGTTGACATGATGCCTGGTGCTAGTGGCGACCATATACAAGGCAGCAAAGGTCAATAGCTTCCCCTTCCAGACGAAATATCTCAGGGAAGGCGCTTACGGGAAAAGACGGCTGGGTGATCAATACCTCTGGTGGTGATGCATCGGAACCATGTAGAATTTCCGTGGAAGGCGATAGGGATACCGCGAGTGACTCCAGGGATCTGGGCAAGGGACCTTCCATCCTCTCCAGGCGCTGGAACAGGTCCGAGGAGACCTGCCCAAGGTCCGGTCTTTGTGCGCCGTGTCAACGGCGGTGTATGTTTGCCCTCCATGCAGACAGACAACTGGATGGCATATGGGCTGGGTCCACTGCTTGTAGGAGTGTGCCACGGGTACTGTACTCCAGTGCAAGTCGCTAACTGTGTGAACGCACAGTGGCCCCCGTTGTTCCCCTCTTTGCCCTCACGCTGCTGTGGGCCTGACAGGGGGGCTGGCAGCCACCCCTGGCCCTGGTCGTTCTGCCGGCTCCACGCTAGCACGCGGAGACAAGGCGGGTGGGCGACCGGCTGGAACTGTGGCTCTCAAGGCCACAGCTGAGGGTCTGGTTTTTCTTGTGTGCCAGGAGCAGTGGAAGAGAACCCAGATCCTGAGCCGGTGTGTTTGTGAGTGCTATACGGCAGATGTGCAGAGTTATTCCATCATACCCGTGATATTGTGGAGGTGCATGTTCTATTAGGATGCACATGGCTTGCCGAACAGAGAATCTGGTTCCCCTCTGACCATCATTCACAGGCAGTTTGTGTCCAGTTGGCGCGTCTCTGCCATAGAACAGGGGGCAAACGCTCGGGCCATTGCATTCATTCTGAACCCCAAGTGCGCCATACTAGAATTGGCACTTGGACACAAACTTACAGTGGGCAGGGATGCTAACCCCCGGGGACCAGCCGCCCCCGGCCAGTCGGGCTACCCCAATTCCCCCATAAGGTTCAGGTAAGTGAAGGAGAGAGCTGGGGTTCGTACGGCAGACCCCGGACGGGAAAAAGGAAGGGTTAGAGGCACGCGACGACGCGTTGTCGCAGCTGAGGCACAGGGGAAAAAAGGGGAGAGCTCATTATTACGCTAGACAGGTAGACATAATATAAGGAATATAACAATACGGAGGTGCGTCCAAAAAAGTAATGATCCGCCAAGAAATGGCAACCAAATTGCGTGGAGCCCACCAGCTGGTCAGTACCTACGAGCATGCAAGGCTCATAACACCATAAGTTAGGTAGTACTCCTAAATTAACCCTAAAAGAGCACTGAACCAGTGGACAAATAAGTACTGTGAACGCAAATTTGTTAGTTGTCAGGTCAACGTCCCGTCTCGCGGGGTTGGACGGCCAGCTGCCAGGACTTAGCTGCATTAGCGCTGGATCATTACTTTCTGGACGCACCTCCGTACATCTTGCCCATCTTTCCAGGGATCCTTGAAGCGAACTAGTGGTGGCCATGGCATCCAGAGTCCAATACATAACCAACTTGTCGTCCCTTTCAGGCCTGTTACTTTCTGTCCTCCATGGGTCTCCATCATAGAGGGTCGGGGCATGCAAACAAGCATGGGGGACCTTGCAAGTCCGACGGCTGCGTGGAGCAGTCCCTGAGCTAGCAAAGGGGCGCTGGGGGGCTGGCATCTGTTTTTGCTGTAGAGTCCAACTCAAATAAGATAACCAGTGAATGCCCCTGTACGACGTGTCAGCTCGTTGTTTCGACGCGATTTGAGGCTTCAAAAAGCAGCAGTAATTGACATTCTGGAGCAATAATGGAGGAGACGGATAGCAGAGGTACGTCGAGATCACTTGACCTCCATGGACAAGTGGCAGAAAGTATGGCAGGCCGGAAGTATCACGATCTGGCGATCCGCGCGGTCTGCGTTTACCTCAAAGCCGACGGCAAGAGCTCTTCTGCGACTTCTGCGATCACTGGCATCCCGACGAAAACCGTGACAAACCTTTACCGCCGTGCCTGCGACCGCGGCTTCGATCTGACGGCGAGGCCGCTGGTGATGAAGGATGAGTTCGTCGCCGATGTACCGAAGGCTGGGAGGCCCAAAAAGCAGACTTCCGAACTTACCTAGCGTATTGTCGATAAAGTACGACTTGACCGTTACGGCCGAGAGAAGACAGTACGATTTATATCTGATGAACTCCGAGCAGAGGGCTTCAACGTAAGCCCGTAGACGGTTCTGCGGATTCTGCACAAGTCGAATTTTCGAAAAACGAAGCCGACGAGGAAGCCGGGGCTGTCGCCGGCGATGCGGAAGGCGCGGCTTGAGTTCTGCTAGCAGCACGCAGATTGGACTCTTGACGACTGGAAGAATGTGATATTTAGCGACGAAACGGCGGTAGTTCTAGGTTATCGACGAGGAGGCTATCGTATATGGAGGCAACCGTTAGAAAGAATGACTCGTTTATGTATCAGGGAACGCTGGAATGGCTACTTAGAGTTTATGTTCTGGGGGTGTTTTTCTTACGATAAGAAGGGGCCCTGCCACGTCTGGCAGGCAGAAACGAAGGCTCAGAAGAAGGCCGCCGAGGCGGAGATCGCGGCCTGGAATTAGCAGCTTGAGCCTCTCCTGAAGCAGGAGTGGGAGTTAACGACTGGGATGCGACGTTTAGGTGTTCGGAATCGTGCTGGGAAGAAGCTAGAATGGCAGTTCACTATCAAGAATGGTAAGCTGTCACGTCGCCAGGGTTCTGGGATCGACTGGTGGCGATACAATAAGGAGATTATACTACCGAAGTTGATCCCATTCGCGAAGGAATGTATGGCCGACAGACCTGGTACTTTGGTTCAAGAAGACGGCGCTCCAGCACATCGTTATTATGCGCAGGGAAGGACTTACAGTCTTTAAGGGATTGCCTAGTTGATGTGGCCAGGTAACTCGCCGGATCTTAATCCTATAGAGCCCTGTTGGTTCCATATGAAGCGCCAGACGACGAAGTCGGGCGCGCCGACGTCAAAGAGTGAAGCGACGAGGGCGTGGAATCAATGCTGGAAGGACTTACCGCAGGCTAAAATACAGGCTTGGATTGAACGAATCCCGTTCCATATTCAAGAGGTAATAAGGCTTGAAGGCGGTAACGAGTACCGCGAAGGACGACGGATTCGACCTGAGAGTAATGGTGATTTTTGGGATGTGGTTTTACAGCGGCAACGGCAACGACAGCGACCTTCACCCACGCCGCAGTTTGACCCTAAAGGCTGGGAAAACGTTAGTGACGATAGCTTCACTTCTAATAGTGCCCTCGCCGGCGACGAGATGCTGTACCTACTAACAGGGCGCCGTTAAGGTCGTTTTGAAGGTACTGGTAATAGTGGTTGAGAGCAATGTGAGGTGGGGGTGAGCTGCCAGCTGGCGACTACGACCTGCAGGGACCCCTGTACTAGTGCCTGGACCAAGACTTTTTAGACGCACCTCCGTACAGGATCACCACCAAGGGGAGATAACGGCGGAGCCAGTGAGCCAGCAAAAAAAACGCCTGGGGCCCTGCATCAGGGCCCACACGCTTGAACCCCTTGGCGGACAATTGCCGCAATCCTTGCCGGTAGCTCAATAGCACCGCGACGGTATACCATAGTAGGTCCCATCGTGGCCGCCATGACTCGTACGAGACCAGGCCAGTATCGTAAAAGAGTAAAAGATAGGCCGCTAATTTCCCTCGGGCCCCTCCCGGGTCCTGTCCGGGACGCCCTTTTCGCACAGACTCAGTGATATATAATAGTGCTGCGACGTTCAGTACCTAGCACGAAGCCTCAGCTCCTTGCCCAGGCAGACAGACACCCACAGTCGCTCACAACATGGCCTCAACCTCATCCAAGCCGACTATCGTGTTCGCGCCGGGCGCGTGGCACACCCCGGATTGCTTCGACATCGTCCGACATGCACTGCAGCAGCGTGGCTGGGCCACCGAGTCCGTGAACTACCCAACTGTGGGCGCCGAGCCCCCGACCAAGGGCCTTGCGGACGACGCCGCCGCTGTCCGCAGTGCTGTCGAAGCGCTGGCTGACCAGGGCAAGGAGGTCGTGCTCGTCGTGCACTCATATGGCGGCCTCGTCGGCGCAAATGCTGTAGAGGGTCTGGGTTATAGGCAGCGCGCGAAGCAGGGAAAGATGGGCGGCGTCATTATGTTTGTATACCTGGCCGCTTTCGTGACGCCAAATGGCAAGACGATCAAGGAGATGTTGGGTGGCCAGTTCCTCCCCTGGATGAGATTTGAAGTGAGCAGCGGAATTGTTCCCCCGACTATGACTCTTGCATCTGAACAAGACACTGACACGGACTTTTGTGTCTTTAGGGCAACTATGTCTACCCAGACACTCCTGAGGTCGTCTTCTATCATGATGTCGAGCCTGAGTTGCAGAAGCAGGCAATCGCCAAGCTCAAGCACCAATCGGCCCCTGTTTTCACGGATCCTGTCACATACGAGCCGTGGCACGAGATAGATTGCATGTACTTCTTCTGTGACGGCGACAAGGCCCTGCCGCTACCGGTACAGCAGCAGATGGCGACGTTGTTAGGCCCTGTTGCAGCCTCATTCCATACCAAGGGCTCTCACTCACCGTTCCTATCTGAGGTCCAGGAAGTTGTCGAGGGATTGGAGCATGCCGCAAGGGTCGGCCAAGAGAAGAGCAAGGCATAGAAGTCAAGAAACCTGGCCTAGGCTTCTAGGTTGATGGATTGTCGGCCTAGGTTCATGGATTGTCGGCCTAGGTTCATGGATTGTCGGTCACGAGATCCATCGGGTTGGTCTCGACGCTGGAAACAGTGGGCGTCGGACCAGGTCCTTTTGTGGGAATCCACCATCTCGCCGGAACAGACTCCCTTCCTCTGTACCGAACAATAGAGCGTAGCTAGAGACTTAGACAAGCCGAAAAACAGACAACAAGACCAAGATCCTCGAACCATGCATCCCTCGTCTGCAGCTCCATAATTGGTGACCGATTGGAAAATGTTGGGAGGTTGGTGGCGCAGCGGCGGTGCCGTGGCTCGCCCTGCAATGGATGGGGTTTGCGTCCCTAATGACCCGGGCTTGCTGTGGCTCACCTCCCGCAGGACCGGCAGGCTGCTTGCTCAGCGGGAGCCGAGGCATGAAGATGACCCGGAATTAGCTCTCGGAGAAAAGCACGGAGATGCTTGAAGCTATCTTCGTGGGGGATTTCTCCGATCTGAGGATCTCGACCTGTCTATGAGGTTTTGGGTACTCGAACGGCACTTTGGGCAGCCGAGGAGGGGTTGTGCCCAGCAACCCAGCCTCAGGCAATAACATGCACGTGCTGGTGGTTGCCTGGTGGGTGCTAGCGTTTGGTGGGTGCTGGAATTGGTGGGTCGGGCGCCGGAGCGGTAGCGGGGCATAGGGATGCGGGGGACAAGGGCGAGATTACGGGCACGCCATGTCCCAGAACACCGTTGTTAGAAAGCAGCATCCAGCAACATCGAACCAACACTATTATTTCAGAAATGTAGCAGACACCCTGTTCGTAGAAACAGGTCCTAGCCATCATTTCAGCAGACATCTATGGGACTGTATTAATACTATACAATATCCTTTAAACAGCTCGGTCTAACAAAAGAAAAGAAAACTATTCTGCAATGAATGCTCGTTCATATAAATTAATTATCAATAACCCTAGACTAACAACGAAGCTAGAGCAGATGGCTTTACCTCTCGCCCCCTTAGTCGAGGTACAACATGGCACTGTCCACCCCGCATTCCCGAGGACCGTACTACTGTTCTGGCTTCTCACGAATGAGCAGCTCGAGTCTCTGGCCGAATCGGGTGCAAGTCACATGTCTTTTCAGCAAGACATAAAAAGGCCCGGGCTCTGGAAGTCGGGAGCATTCAAATCATCCCATTTTATTCATTCAGGCTGCCCTTCTGATTCAGTTTCAGCTTGACCATGACACCCACGACCATTCTTATCATGCTCGTAGATCACACTGCTCGAAGCATCCTCGCCCTTGTTGGGATGGCTGTGCTTCTGGCTATCTTCATCAGAATACCTGGTGCCTCAGGCTACTTTGCCTGGTTCACACACAGATGCCTGCGATCCACAACCAACAAGGCTGGGCTGGAAGCCGTTCCTCATCTCTCACCTCATCCATCTTATCGTATCTCATCTCGCGAGCATCGTGCTGGTCGATCTGTCGCAATTACGATCGGTACCGCCCATGCATGGTACCATGAGGTGGGCATACCGCCGGCCAACCAGTCCCATCTGCGGCGACGAGAGCATCGCCGCCTGCAAAGCCATTGGGCGTCAAGAACGACTTCGAGTTCTATCCGTCGACGATGTACGGACCCGTTGGAACTGAGCCTTTGCCACGGCCGGATCCTCTATAACCGGAGCGTGGGCTTTGCTGAGGCGGACAAAACGGCGGGGCCGTGTGCAGGCGACCGTTAACACGCGGAGTGCACCCATCATCCCAGCATATACCCTCGGTTTACCCATCCACAACTTGGATCATGGCATTGGTAGCACGTCACCAGCCATGGGACAACGAGGGGTGCAGCACGAGCTGCCCAAGCCGGAGACGAGCACCTTGAACGGCCTCAACTTCAGCCCCCGGCCTGCGGACAGCGCTGCCGATGGCTGCCTTCAACGCCAAATTCCAGTTTGAGGGCCTCCCCTTCGGGCCGGGCTCGACGATAGACCCCAATGCCCTCCATTACAATGATTCGCCGCAATGCATGGCCTTGGAGTAGGCCTCGCCATTTGCCCTGTCCATGAATGGGATGCCCTCAAGCCAAACCTTCGACGATAGATTTGAATGGTTGACTGGTCTCGAGCATCAGATGTCCTTTCACACAAACGAAAACGTGGTGGAATCTAGTCCGTCCGCCATCGGCACGACGAACCCGAGCGGGATAAGCGATGTTCTGTTGCATGGTCCCGCCGGAACGAGTATCATCAGCAACCCTCGGTGATGGGCACTCCACAGGTGCCGAACCCGTTTGCGATGGATCGAGATGGATCGGTCATCCCGGATCCCTTGAATGGGATCTCTTTGTCCTCAGCCAACTTCTCAAAAGATCAATGATCACTTCTCTACACCTCCATCTTCGTTGAAGCCACGATCGAACCCTCCCTTTATGCTGTCCCTTGCCTCCCTCTAAGCCCACCCTCTCATATCGGTCAAGAAACGTCAGAACTATCGACGAGCGTAGCGAAAGTTTCTTTACTTTGTATTGCTTTCGAGAGGTGATGTTGACAGGAATTACAACAGATAGGCACAGATTCCACTGTCTAGTGCAGCCAAGCATCGACGCAGCCCCCTTCTTGGGCAGTTACTTTTAGAGCTGGCGGTACAAACCTAGCAGTACTATATGGTGATATGTCTCTACGAAAGGCAGGACGTGAAACGGGATGTTGCCAATTCTACAGGAAACGCTTTACGAAGGGGGATAGGCACATGCTCGCTCGGCTGAATTTCTGTGACTTCAGGGTAAGTCAGCCGGTACCGCTGCGATACATGGGGTTCCTGCACAAATTGCGGGCAATCAAAGACAGTGAAAGATAGTTATCTTTTCTTATTTCTTTCACGTACAACAGTTCCAGTTAAAGCTTCAGATATAGCTCCAGAACCTCCCAAGTAGCACTTACACAAGCAGCCGCATTTGCAAGAGAATGGTGTATCGGTTTGCGTGGCGACCATGTAGAACGCCTGGCTCATATCTGTATAGGCCAGGAATACGCAGTTTGCCAGTCTGGCTGGGTTAGGTTGATCAGAATATTGGGTAAAGTGAATTGCCAGAATCTCACCGAGCAGGACCTTATCCTCCCCTCCCCCATGACCAAAAAAGCCATCGCGAACGTCGGCTTCTTCGACGGCTTGTCCGTCAAACCCGGCAGCACAGTTGACTTCATCGCCAGCCCAGGCGACATCGTCGACATAGAAACGTCAGAGGCGGCGGACCCCGATTGCGACTCGACCATAGATGGGACAGGCTGCACGCTGAACCCCCCCCCCCAATCGACGCCAACATCGACGCCGGGACCCCCGGGTCGGCCTTTGACGCCTTTGCCAGGTTCGGTATCGGGACTGTAGTCGACTTTAGCAGCATGCCCGACGAGGTGCGAGCGATGCGCGCCGCTGCGGAATCGGAAATGAGCATGCCAGCATATTCCGCTTCCAGCACTGTGGCAGTCACTCCGCACAGCGAAAGCACGGCCCTCTTCCTGGCGCTGAGGAAGCGGCTTATCCTATCTGCTGAGGATGCCGAAGCGTTTGTCAACGAGCAGATAGGCGGACCCGATCAGGCAGACTACATTAAAGCCGTAGCAGAGTCTTCGGGGTCGCAGGACGGGCACCAGTGTGTCCAACAACCAAGTAAAGCAAAAATTGGACCCCTTACTTTGCTTGGTTGACAGTACCCCCTTGCTTGACTTGGTTTACTCGACAATAGTGCCTTACTTTACTTGGTTGGTTGACATTACTCGACTGATTACCGACTACATTCATTTTCCTCGTTCTACTCCTGGTGATAGATCTACGTTAACATGCCGCTTCGAAGCAAGTGCTTCTGGCATTCAATCGCTGCTACAGTGTCTGAACTGAGCCGGTTCCGTTCATCCGTAATCACCTTCTTCGTCTGTGAAAAGACACGCTCACACTCAGCGCTCATTGCTGGACAACTGAACAAGTCAAAGGCCATCCTGGACAGGACAGGGTAGTCAGATGCGTGACGAACCCACCATTCCAGAGGGTCCTCAACGTCCAAGTCTGCCTTATTTGTCCTGGCCATGAACTCATCCGGTCCAGACGTCAATCTTGCCCGCTTCTTTGTTCGTGCGGCTGACCCCACAGCGACAGCGAGCCTCTGACGCCGCTTACGAGCTTGCTGGAGTGGATCAAGTACCGTATTGCAGTTCACAAGCACCTCTTCATCCAACTCCTCCAGCTCCTTCTCCTGTCGTGCTCCGTCTATTGGATCAGCTTCCGCTGCTGCTGCCTCATACTGTGCGAAAACCTCCTGTACTACTCTCTTTGCCGCACTTATCCATTGCTTGTTGTGACTCCATTCAAGCTCAAAGTATGTAAACTTATTCGCTGGATGCAAGGCAACTGCACATCGGTACGCAGGAGTCGCATCTGTGAGGCCAAAATTGCTGAAATGAGGCAGTTGCGTAATGTACTCTACCTAGCATGACAGGCTCAAAAAGCATAAGTAGACCAGTTCCCCCCAACGTTTGAGGGTAAGGACAATTAATCAAGGCTTAACTCTTAACCATTTCAACAAAAATACTCTTCAAGCTTGATGCGAGCAGCATCAATAGCATGGGAATAGTATTTTGACACCACGTCAGGGTGATCATCTGCGAATCTCCCAGCCCCCTGAAGCTTCTTGAGTACATCCAGCGACTCGATGGTCTCGTGCAGTGAGCCATGTGATCCTTCCGAACCAGCCTTGTTCGCTCGGCCCTCCATACGTTTTGTTAGATCTTTGAAAGGCTTGAGGATATTGAGGAAGTGTTCCAGATCGATCCAATCCTGTGGAGTCAGGAGATCCTGCGAAATGTCATATCCTTCAGCACCGACGTGGCTATAGTTGAGAAAGAACAGATCAATGGCGTGGCGGAGTTTCAAAGCTCTTTCAATCATGGAATGTACAGAATTCCAGCGGATACCACCATCAACCAGGACCCTTGTGTAGAGGTGTTCATGCCGCCTTCCTCGTAAGCCTGCAGGATGTACTGTTTCAGCCGCTCCCGTCGCTGGTCGCTTCTGTTAATCCATACGCAGAAGTTATGGAGCTTGCCAATACAGCTGTGCTTCCTCCATATCTCAAACCGCTCGTCATCAGAGGCAACGCGCAGCTGTTGTTCCAGCTTGCTAACACCCTGCCCAAAGAGCAGAGCTTTGACGATGATGTTCAGCATATGACCCACGCAACGGAGGCGACTCTCACGTTTGATCGTCGGGTACTGTTTCGCCAGCTCCTGACCGTCATTGCGCGCGGAGCAAGAGGACGCGGTGTGCTGCTCCGGGCGGGGATTGGGTGCAGCGGGGGGGAATTGCGGGGCGGGACCGGGGGCGGTCTCTTGCTCCGCGAACCCCAACGGTCTCTTGCTCCCGCAGCGAAAAGGCCGTGGGTTAAGGACCGCGCGGACCCACTTATGGACCCCAACCCCAGGCTTAACCTACAGGGGTGTTATAGGAGAAAGTCAAAAGCGACGCCAAAGGAACGCGTAAGACGGGGGGGGGGGGGGGAGAGGAAAAGGGGTATAGAGAAGAGAGGCGTGGGAGATAGGTAGGTATAGCCAGTTTAGTAGTAAGGACAGTAGCAAGACAGCAGTACAGTACACGCGGAGAGAAAGGACGACGACAGCTATGCCAGGCAGAGCAGCAGACGGTACGAAGGACGAAGCCGATAAGGGCGCAGCGGCGATCTGGCTGTACGAGCCGGCGCGCGTTCTTATATGCGCCGACTGTAAGGCCGCGATCCGACCCGGGCCGAACATCGCTCAGCACTTTAGGAAGACGCACGAGATTAAAGGGGACGAGCTACAGGGGATTCTAGAGCTAGCTCGGGCTCTCGCGGAGACAGTAGCCGGCACTAGCGGGCTGCAAGACCCGTACGCAGCAGAGCTCCCGGCGGACGGCAGCGAGCCGATCCAGCAGCTCACGATCCAGGCCGGGCTACGCTGTACGGCGTGCCGCTATCTAACGACGAACGGGAAGCGGATGCTACAGCACTGGGGCGCAGAACGGGCCAGGCTAGACGAGGCACACGACAGCCGGAGCAGCTGGCTAGAGGTCGCACTACAGTCGTTCTCGTCGTCTAGAAAGCTAATACGGTACTGGGTCGTAGACGCGCCGGTTCCAGGGCAACCCGGCCGACAGAGGAGGCTCGAGCTTAGACCGGCAGCTCCGTCCCCGGCCCCAGCCCCGGATATGAACCCGAGCCCGGACTGGAAGGCCCACATAGAGACGTACGAAGCCAAGGTCGCAGCCGACGAGGCCGAGAGAGCACGGATTATCGACCACGAGGCCGGCGTCGACTTCGAGTCGCCGTGGGTCCGCCAGATGGGCTGGGCGGCGCATCTGGCCGGTAAGGATATGGCTGAGCTACGCCGCGCCGCCGAGCCAGGTCTATCGACGAAGGAGCTAGCTAAGCTAAGCTGGTCGGTCCGGAAGGAGAGGGAGGATTCGGAAGCGGCGCTCGTACGTCTAGGGCAGAGCTTCGATAGGGAAATCGAGCGGTGCAGCCGACGGATCAGCCAGGTACCCGTCGAGACGCTCTGCTGGCTGGCGAGCCGCGACCCGAATCGACCGTCGCCACGGCCGTTTAGTGTAAAGCAGGAGGCCCAGACGATGGAGAAGTACCGGAGCCACTGGCGGCGCTATCTCTACTACTGCGTTTCGGGTCTTCCGGCTCGGTCGTACGGAGGCGAGGAGGAAGCACCAGGTCCAGTTCACCAACGAGCAGTGGGCAGCTCTCGAGGCCGTCGCAGAAGCGCTCGACAGCACGAAGGACAGCAGCTCCCGGGTAGGCGGCGAGAACGAGAATAACGATAACGACGAGGGAAACGATTATCTAGACGAAGCCGTCTTCACGTTCTGCACTACGTCACTGACGCAGCAGGTGCTGGTCCGGCCGTACGTAAACCCGTAACTACACTTTACGACGGTACTTGCAATCGACCCCGTCCGAGCACGATTCCGGCCGCCAGCCGAATTCACAACACTACTAGCAGGCCTGGCGTGGTGCAGCCGTGTACTGCTACTAGAGTACTTCTTCGAGCACGTCCCGATCCAGGAAGAAGACGCCGGGGATATAGAGGGGGAGGACCAGGAGCCCAGGCAGCTACAGTCGAAGGATATCGACGTTTTTATGGACGGCTACCGGCAGTGGATCGCAGACGGCTCGTACAGCCCGTTTAGTACAATTACACGGTTTATGACGATCGGAAAGGGCTATCGTCAGAAGGAAGGGGGCGCTCCCCGGATTATCTGGGAGGATGGGAAGAAGGCGGTCCGGCTACACGGCTTCCGGATCGAGATCCAGGACTTCCGAGAGATGGCCCAGAAGCTCGTTTCGACGGCGGAATCGGTACTCGACGGGCTTTTGTACGGACAGTCGGTAGCGTTACTAGAACAGGTCAGGCTCGACAAGATCAGCGACAGCGTTATTTACGAGGGCGACGGGAGGTCGTTTATCTCGAACCCGCAGAACAGCTGGCTTCGAGCCGGGCCACACATCGTTGGAGAGCTCGTCTCGGAAAAGCTCTGGTCGTCCCAGCGCCAGCAGTACCACCGGGAGAGGTTACAGAGTGGCTGAACGGCATCGAGACGCTGAAACGCCAGCTGCTCATACTAACGCACGTCTGGGGAGGCCAGCCAGGCCGAGGGCCCGAGATCACGAGCGTGCGGTATCTAGATACGAAGCAGCTAAGCCGGAGCGTGTACGTCTACGACGGGCAGGTAATGCTCGTGACGGACCGGGACAAGGCCAAGTCGATCCGCGGCTACGGCCGAAAGGTGACGCGCTTTCTGCCGGAACGAATCGGACGGCTGCTCGTTATCTATCTCGTCTGGCTAGTCCCGTTCGAGGAGATGCTGCTCGATGCGGTCCGGGCCCGGAAGCCGTCCGACTCGCTGCGGCACAGGCTATGGAAGGACGGCCGTAATGGCCGCTGGGGGACGGACGTGCTTACGAAGGAGCTTAGGGCAGCTACGGCGGGCTATCTCGGTGTCGAGCTAGGTACTTCGGCGTACCGGCATCTGGCGATCGAGCTGGGCCGGACGATCCAGGGGCTCGTCGTACAGCAGAAGGAGCTGGAGGTCGGTGCCAGAGACGACGGCTTCGGGCTCGAGGACGAGGAATTCGACGAGGCTACGGGCGAGCAGCGCCCGAGAGACCGAACCGAGCTGATCTGGGATCTGCAGGCGACACACAGCAGTGCTATGGCGCGATCGCACTACGCGATTAACATCCAGTTCCCAGGGCAGCTACAGCCGCAGATGATTGCCAACTACCGGGAGATCAGCCGGCTCTGGCACCAGTATCTGAGCTGGGATGGCCGGGGCAGCAAGGGTCAGTCGCCGGACAAGGCCCAGGAGCGGACGAGGAAGCGGAAGCGAGAGGCTACGGACGTCGAATCGTCCGGCGACGAGGGCGCACTACCGCCGGGCAGCAAGGGGACGACGGAACCGAGCTCAGAACCGCCGAAGCAGAGGAAGCTACTCCCGGAAGCTGTTGGAGAGATAAGGCGCCGGATCCAGCAAGGGCTCGAGTCGATTATCGGGGCCGGTGCGCGCTGGAGGACGGCAGAGCAGGAGCAGGGCATGGTTCAGATCATGCAGATGCGAGGCGGCTCCGTACTAATCGTTATACTCCCGACAGGCGGTGGCAAGAGTCTGCTATTTATGGTCCCGGCGGTACGAGGGGTAAACGGCGGCGTTAGTATCGTCGTTGTTCCGTTCGTAGCGCTGATCGACGATCTCGTAGCGAGGGCACGTTCGTTCGGGATCGACTGCGTTCGCTGGAGGTCGGCTGAGGAAGAGGGCCGGGAAGCTAACTCGCTCGTGCGCGTGGCTAGTCTGGTTGTGGTCAGCGCCGACCAGGCAAGTAACTACGAGTTCTGCAACTACGTAGATACGCTACGGAGCCGGAGGTTACTACGGCGGATCTTTATCGACGAGTGCCACACGATCATTATGGACGTCAGCTCCCGGAAGCGACTCGCGGCGCTCAAGGGGCTATACCGGTACGACTGCCCAGTAATCTTACTTACAGCTACGCTCCCGGTAAAGCTGGAGGGCTGGTTCCGGCAGCAGATGATTGCGGAAGACGCCGAGATCATACGGGCACGAACGACGAAGAGGAACATCCGGTACGCAGTTACTACAGTCCCGGGTAAGGCCGGAGGAAGAGGTCGGAAGCAGGGAAACGCGGTCCAGGAGGAGGTTGTACGACTGGTCGAGGAGAGGAACCGCTCTGGGGCGCTCGACGGCGATAGGAAGGGGGTAGTGTACTGCCGGTCGAAGAAGGACAGCGAGAAGCTGGCGGAGCGGATCGGGTGCGGGCATTACCACAGCGGGATGGAGATCCAGGCGCGAGAGGAGGTACTGACCATCATTCACAAGCAGTTTGTGTCCAGTTGGCGCGTTTCTGCCATAGAACAGGGGGTGGACGCTCGGGCCATTGGACTCATTCTGAACCCCAAGTGCGCCATATTGAGATTGGCATGCATAGTGAGGTCATGGACTTCACGCCAATGCACCAGAACGACATTGTTGAGTTCTCTCCGTCCCTCGACTTGGCGCTGACGCTCCACGAGACACTCCCGGAGCTCTCATTCCTGCGCAATTCGGATCCAAACGCCCAGTCGGAGAATCGAGAATACCACTTCATCCACCTGACCTTCCAGGAATATTTTGCGGCACGGTATTTCGTCCAACGGTGGAAAGACGACAAACCACTCGAATATGTCTTCAGGTCTCGGAAGCACAACGCAGTGACCGACCCCGTCAGTTTCCTCCGAACACACAAGTACGAAGCTCGATACGATGTCATGTGGCGTTTTGTTGCCGGCCTGCTCGACGCCGAAAAGGAACATGAAATGCTCCGGTTTTTCACGAAACTAGAGGAACCACCACTCGACCTTTTGGGCCCTGTGCACCAACGACTCGTTATGCATTGCCTAGCTGAGGTGAGCGGCGGTTTGAAAATGAGAGGGGATTTGGAAGACCGACTGTCACAGTGGCTGTTGTTCGAATGCCGATTTACAACGCAATCAGAGCTGGCCACCGAGACGGAATTCCCTGAGGAGGCTTTAAGCATCGCGTTTCGTGAAGGAAAAGATGTGATGGCCACAATTCTGATGTCATTAGCAAGTCGAGTTCATGTTCCGCCGAGAATCCTGCTAGCTATTACTGCACGACTTGAGGACGAGGATGGGGATGTCCGCCGGGCAGCGATCGAAGCATTCCAAGGGCAGTCATCTCTACCGATAGAGATGGTCACGGCTATCGCAGCGCGGCTTGAGCACGAGGATGGGGATGTCCGCCTGGCAGCGATCGAAGCACTCGAAGGGCAGTCATCTCTACCGATAGAGACGACCACGGCAATCGCAGCGGGGCTTGAGCACGAGGATAGGGATGTCCGCGAGGCAGCGATTGAAGTGCTCCAAGGGCAGCCATCTCTACCGGCAGAGACGGTCACGGCTATCGCAGCGCGGCTTGAGGACGAGGATTGGCGTGTCCGCCAGACAGCCTATAGCGTGGTGCGGTTACATAAAACGCTCTACTCCCAGCTTCTTCATGGCCCTTCCGCACGCTCCTTATATCATATGGCCCTTAGCGAAAGCTTCCGAGAACATCAAAGTTGGTATATCAATGACCAACAGTTCTACATCAGCACGTCCGAGCAATTAACGCACATACCGATTCATCTAACGTACTCCACAAGCGACCCGCCCACACAAGCGACCCGCCCACTTTCTGGGTACTTACAAGACAATGTATAAGTGCACTCAACTACAACGCCTCAAATCAATTTAAACTATCAAGAATCCTCTTCTTCAGAGGTAGGCTCAACTTTCTGACACGTCCGCGCATTATGGCCCGGCTCCCCGCAGACGCCACAGCGTCGCGCGCGCGTCTCTGTCCTCCTCGTACGACCACCATGTTGACTCGTTTCTGCCTGTAACTGCTGCGTCGCATTGATTTGATCCTTCAAGTCCTTTGCCTGTTCAATCGTAAGGGACCCTCCTTTCTGTAACTGCTTTCTCTTCGTACGGCGACGGCGGCTAAGGCGGTCATTTGCATCTCGAAGTTCGGCGAGTTCGTGGCGTACAAGGGTCTGCTCGTGCACCATTATCGCGATTCCTTTATTTAGCTGCCGTAAGCTTGCAATTATTGATGTTGGAGAGCTGCCCTGGTGTCGTACAATGCGATTCTTAATGTATTCGGTCTGTGATTCCGCCTCGATCGGGTTGTTTGGCGTCCTCGAGACCCAGGGTGGCGGTAAGCCGGTAGAGGACCCAGGCGGTGTTGGCGTCCGAAGCTTTAAATCTAGCTGCGAAATAACGTATTCCGGCTCATACGGTACTAGGCCAGTTGCTCTAAAGCCTGCCTGGATGTTTGAAGAAGTCATTACAGCGTTGTGCGCCTTAAAAAAGGCTGGGAGGAAGTCTTCCTTCGCGATGTGGGTAATATGCGCCCGCATTAGACCCTCGATTTCTTTACCGTACGCCTGTTTGAGAGGTCCAAAGCACCCGACATCAAGAGGCTGGAGCTTATACGAAGAGTGAGCAGGCATACAGAGCGTTATAATACTCTGCTCCTTGCAGAATAGCTCGAAATCGGTTGAATGGTGGCTCTCGTGGCCGTCGAGGATCAGGAGCCGGAAAGCACCCTTCGTACGACTCTTTGTATGCAAATCGAAGTGTTTCGCCCATTCTAGACCTCGCTCGTTCGTCGTCCAGCCGTTTTCAGTAAGCGCAATCACCCAGTTCGGCGGTAGAGGGCTTTCGGAGGTCCAGGAGTCGAGGTGGACCTTGCCTGCAAAGATGATGTACGGCGGGATCGAATTGCCGGAGGCCCCGACGCCCTGAATTACTGTAACCCATTCTTGGTTACCTTGCTGTACTGCTCTTGGCTTGCCGCGTCGATCGGAGGTCGTAACGACGGTTTCGGCGGAGATCTTGCCCATCGCGAAGCCGGTCTCGTCGAAGTTGTAGATGTCGTCATCGTGGATCCCGTATTTCGCGATTGTATTTCGTACGAGGAAAAACCACGCGCGATACGCGTCTGGATCTTCGCAGAGGACTCTCTGATAGTCGATTCCTCGATTAAAACGCGTTCGGAGCTCAGGTCGTCGTCGTACGAAGTTCGCAGCCCAGTTCGTTCCAACGCATGGCGCGTCGCGTGCGCGGAGCAGTCGATCCGCCATTTCTCGAACACCACCTAGCCGCGGTGGAAATGATCGCGAATCTAGGTCGATTACGTATCGTACGATGCTATCTTCTTCGTACGGGGTCAATTTCTGGTTATGTGGTCGGGTATCACGTTTGCGCTCTACGCCACGTCGTCGGTCTCGGAGGGTTGTACGTGGGACATTATAGATTGATGCAGCCTTTCGAACACTTAATTTGGGATTTGATTGAAGCGCATTTAGCGCTAGGACAAGGTCGTCTTCTTTGGATTGCGTCATAAGAGGCAATGGTGGGAGAACGAAGGAAAAGATTGAGGAATTGTCTGAAGGGAAGAAAGTGGGCGGGTCGCTTGTGTGGGCGGGTCGCTTGTGGAGTACGTTAGCTCAAGCCAGTCCGATCAAACCGCCATCGTTTCACCAAATTGGACGCACTGCATGCTCTCGTCTGACAAAAGACAAAGTCCTTGATTTCGCGAACTTGGCGATTGCAGCCGAGCACCACAGTGAATTCGAGTAGCGCACGCAGTCTTCGAGATCTGTTTGAGCTTGTTGTAGAGTCGTAGGAACACTGTACAGTGTAGCCAGCGTGGGTCCAGTGGCTCGAAAAGACCCCGCAACCAACGTGCCAATGCTCAAAGCGTCATCTGTGACAGCTGCGATAGAGAATATGGTTCTGGTCAGGAAGTGAGCTCACACGCGTGTCAGACAGGATAGCAAGCCGAGTCCTCGCGCGGAAACTAGCGAGCCACACGGGAGACGCCTGACTAGAACAGTGCTATTGTGATAGCGCAAGAAGTTATGTCGAAGAAAAGCAAACAATACCATAGTCCTCAAACTGGAGTTCCCAAGGGCATTTGCATGTAGTTCAGCCGCACATGACGACGAACTACTTCGGAACTGAAAGGCGTGACGTTAAGTGAGACAGCAAAGTCACAGAGGACGCGTTACGTTTGATAGATTGCACTCTCAACGGATGCGGACACCCACGCCCCAGAGGAGAGAGTAGAGGTCGGTGTAGAGGGGAGCACCGTCACAGGTGAAAGGGATTCTGATTGGTGAATTTGTATTATCTTCACACCTGATGTGCGTGAGGTCAGAAGCAAGCCACTGTCGTCGAATCAAGAAACGGGCATACGCCGAATCGCCGGGAGTAGTTACACTAAAGGTGTGCTACTGCAAGCAAGGTGGGGTAGGCCCCAAACGCTGCGTCTGATTAGCCTACTTCAAGGGACAGGTACGTGACGTTACGCTCTACAAAATGCCTGGCAAGTGCTGTATGGAGGCGAGTGCGTACTCGCCGTGCAGGGGTGCGAGGCTTCGGGGCCCAGCCGTGGACGCTTCCTCTGATTCCGGTTGAGGGACCGAGATAGGATCTTCAGCTGGCTTTCTACCAGCCGTCTACAACCGGTGAACAGACCACTGGCACGGTTGTAATATATGACAAGGCGTCTCTTGGTTCAACTACGTCTGTCCCCGATTGCTACGCCTTGCGGCGTGCTCTACGCAGATTGGGTACATGGTTGAAGTTGCGTATGCTAGGGCTTGAAAAGATATGTTGCCTCGATAACGGAAGACCATGATAACACTAACAACAACCTGAGGCGTGTCGTGCTAAAAACTATATAATCTCCCAACATTGCAACGCTGAATCCAGTATCGCCTGCTCCACGTCGGCCGGTGATATATAGGCAGTTCCTCCCTTTCACATCCATCCTCACACATCGTCTGATGACATGCTTCGTTTCATCGATTCTGCGGGCTTTTTGGTTGTGGGAGGATGAAGTCTGTCTACCTCACCAAAACTACACTGAGTGATAATGCCATCCAAGACTTGACGACAAGACAAGACCCCAACGAGTGGACTTCATCAGCATGGCCTTCAAGTGCTCAATCACGGCTTCAGAGCCTGCAGATTGACCTTGCTTTGACCCAAATGTGCGGAAAAGCATGGCGTACTAAGGGTCATCGTGCTACAAGTACTGTTCGGGACGCAAGTGTATTGTGTAGACACGAGTCGTTACAACAAGAAGAGCTGGAGAGTGGGATTCTGTGCTAAGTGACTTTAACGGTCTACGTTGGCACCGCATCTGACTGACGTTGGACCAGGCAGCAGCTCTTGCAAAGTTTCAAAGCTGAGCTTTTGGCCAGGAGATCGCCATCAGCGGATTGACCGTGTCGAGATCCTTCATCGGGTCCCAACTTGGACTCCCAAGACTTCTTGTGCAGTCGAATTATGCTATTCCAAGCCGAACTTGACACGTATTTTCGCGAATCTTGACAAATGCCCCAGTGGTGTGGTGACGCTGGTTGGCGGAAGCAGAGCACAATCTATGGGCTAAAGTGAATAGCTAGATGTATTACAGAAAATCTGTTCCTGATAACAACTGTACCTAACTAGTATTCCTTCATGAGTAAACGAAATTCTAAGTACTCTCCTGAGCATTTGACGCCGAGATATCGCATGAAATCCCTGCCGTCAAGCTCAACTAAGTAGTCTTCCTCAGGCGAGACCCAGGTAAAGCGTATGAGAACGAGGAATGAGTCTTCATATCTCCTCTCAATGGCTAGTTCAGCCACCAGGGTCCAGAAAAGTGGCTGTATGCTTAAAGACTTCGCGAGATTCGAGAGATCCTGAGCAGGAACCCACTCATCTAGGGTTTCTTCTCTTGAAACAAAGAGAACCTTAAGTTCGGGCCTGTCAGACATAAGCTGCAGTAGTGGTAGCAGCTGATGAGTTTCTCCGAGCGAGTCGAAGTTCGTAATCTGAAGCTGTAGCTCGCTGGAGAATTCACAGCGCTGGTACGCGGGAACGGCGCTTATCTCGATCTGGTGGTTTGTGTGTCTGAATAAAGGAAGGAACTCCGCACGGTAGAATTTGGAAACCTTCAGTAAGGCAAAAATCCCTTTCCACTGATCTCTAATGCTCTCGCCAACCCATTTCAGACAAATGGCTGTTCCACTACTCTGTATTAAACAGTCGTAGATCATATATCGAACCTCTATGTATTTTTCAGTGAGTGAGAAATGTTACATAGATCTGGTTTCTTACCAGGAGGAAGAGCACGCAACAGAGTTCGTTGCTGAACCGTAGTTTCCCGATCGATTGTGGGTTTTGCCATCATGAGCGTAGAGGTTGAGACTATGAAACTCAAGAATAGCAAAAGACTCGGAAGGAAGATGCTGCAGTGCCGATAATTTGCAAGCATATGCTTTGTATCGCAGTGGAAGGGAAGGAATCTTTCTCTTTTTATACTTAGACAGAGACTGTGACAACTCAGTCAAGGGTGGTTATCATCTTCCTGCCTGCATTGTGTATGTTGGCTAGGACCTTCCTTGATTTGCATTTAGCACCTGTCTGGGAGACTTCGTGACCTGGGAGATCTCGGCAACACATGCCAGGTTATCAGATGCGACTGACCTGTCCGAACGGCACACCTCAGCCGACTGCCTGCTGCACATCACCGCCCACCGTGAAATGGAGGCGTGCCTCTTGGAAAGCGCCAGGCTAAGGAGGGTTACGACGCTGGTTCGAGATCCGATCCTCGACTCCGATTCGCTACTGGTATCTCCCGATGATGCCTTGCTCCAGGGAGGCACGAGTCGGTAGTGTGGGCCGTCTCTGCAGGGCAATGACAAAACTGCACAGGGACATCGACCATAGTACCCTTGTGACGGAGGCAAGCAGCACTGGCAGCCACATGACGTTGCACCTTATCGAAATCACCATGAGCATTGCAACCAGGGCAAGGCGAGCTCGCGCCGGGGTAGATGTGGCCTGCGGCAATCATTGATGTTCTGACAACCAGCGACAACTGGGTCTAGGCAAGTTGTGTAGTCTCTGCGAACACGTGTTTATTGCTTTCTAGATCTTATCACGCTGGTCGCACCCACTGGCGCCTTGCCTGCTGACAGCGAACCGCTCTGCCCTCTCTTCTGGGGCTGTTCCACATCCTCCGCATCGGAACTTGCCGTCTCCAGCTCGTACGCCGTGGGCTGATCTCCGAGGACCGTCTCTTAGTCTGATTCCTCAGCTTCCTCCTCCTCCTCATCCTCAGCTACTTGCTCCTGGGCACCATCCACAACCGAGTCTGGGGAGCTGGCGCGACACGGCGATGGCGGCTCGTCCGTGTCCGGAATCGAGAAAGGCGACGATTCACGAGACTGTGGCATGTACTCGAGCTGCCGACCTGGCGGACCAAGCTGCTGCGAGGCAGGCCGCTTCTTGGGCCTGGGCGGATAGTTCGCAAGCCACTCCCGGCATTGTGAAAAAGTCCACCGTTGGTCTGCCTGCTTCTCAGTCGCGCCCAGCAGCCCTTCTTGAAGAAGTGCGGGCGCTTGTTGGACTTGGTCCCGCAGAATGTCGAACCAGTAGTCGAAGTCGTCCGACGTTCGCAGTTTCTTTTTGTCGCTTTGGAGGATTGTGCCGCCATCCCAATAGGTCAACAGCTGAATCATAATGACCCCCAATGAAAAGACATCGACCCTCTCGGTGTACCTGCGATCCTTCACCCAAAACGCCGGCGCCATGTATAAGGGAGTGCCAAGGTATGTCGACATGTCCGTACTCTTAGACTTCGAAATGCCAAAATCAATAATAATTGCATGCAGAAACCTTCCGTCAGGCTTGTCCGACTCCATCTGCACAAGAATGTTTCTTGGACTCAAATCTCGATGAGCAAGGCCTGCCTTGTGGATGTATTCAAGACCACTGGCGACGTCTAGCAGTGCCCTTGGCCTGTCCTCGTCTGAAAGCCCAACTCTTGAGAGATCAAACTCGACATATGGCATAATGAGCCAAGCGGGCTCCTTCCCGTGGCCTGGGATGAGAGCTACGACTTCGATGACATTTGGCTGGGGTCTTATTAGCAATAGCCTGTGATGGTAGACCTGAGTGAGCTCACATGTTTCAGACTTTTTCATTTTTCGAAACTCCTCTGCAGCACTTTTGTATCGAGCCAGAACCTTGGAGTCGTTATCAGCTGCGTGGTAGTGGGTAATCTTGGCAGCGTAGATTGTCTTCGTGTTGACTTTGCGCACTTTGTACACAGAGCCAGATGCGCCACTGCAATGAGCTCGTCTTGCATGTACATATCCCCATTTGTGCGCATCGCATGTTGGGCGTCAGATTCCCAGTCTTTGGGTTTCGAGGCAAGGCCGCGAGGACACCCTTGTTGAAATCGTCTGTGTGCTTGCGGAATTTGTTTATGTCCTCCCTTGCTACCAATTTCGGCCTCCGAAAGGAGAAAGTGACTGGTCCAAAATCGAGTGTGCTCGAACCGGGCAGTAACTCGTGTTCTCCCTTCTCGAGCGTGATGTACCTCGTAACGCCTTCCTCGGTATGACCCGTGATGCGAATCGCGTTGCTGGAACGATTGGTGACCCTGGGCCGTAGCTCATCCGGATCGACGTCGATGAGGATGTGTTTACGGCTCACACCCGACGAATTATCAGCTATGATCTGAAAGTCGCTCTCAGTTGTGTCGTCTGAGGAGCCAAAGAACCAGCCATCCGGATTGTATATGTTCTGTTCAAAACGCAAGACGAAAGTTGGATCTGGCAAGGGATCTATACGATCCCCTACCAGGGCTTGTTGTTGAGCTTTGCTGAGCTGAGAGGGGTCGAGGATGAAGCTTGCGTTGGAGCTAAGTGCCTTTGGGTGAGCAGCATCCTGGGCAGCATCCTCATCAGCATCCTTGTCTTGCTGAATGTCGCCGAAGCACAGGAAGATGTCAGCGACAGACATCGTGTTGTTGTGCTGCCGTTTCAAGGTTGGCTGCAATGCTCTGTGCGGTTATGGATGAAGGTGGCTGTAGATAAAGAGATTGGTCGCCGTGCTTGATGTGATCGCGGATGAAGGTGGCTTCAAATAGAGAAATCAACCGACCAGCGTTGTCGGCCCTGGGAGCGCAGGCCTGATAACAGGCCGTCATGTTCGTGTTTGAGGCTTCTGACCATGTTTCACCCGCAGGCGGCTCGAGTGGCGCGTGCCTTGTGCGGGGTTGCGTATCCGCTCCAGACGGGCTTTCCGCTTCAGACGGGCTTCCCGCTTCAGATGGGCTTTCCGCTTCTGATGCTCTCTCTCGCATTTCTAGTAGCTTTGATCCTTGATTGTAGACCTTGCGTGTAGGGGCCGGCGCCTTGATCCGCAAGGTTCTTGAGCAGGTGTGCTACTTTGCGCGGATTCCAGCGGACGAGCCTCGAGAAACGCCATTCGGCTTCTGTGGCCCAGTATTGTGGGTCTTCGATGGTGCTGCGAAAGTCATCGATTTCCTCCTCACTGAGGCCATGGTAGAAGATTTGACACCGCCAGTCCACAGAGTCTGGCCGCGGACTTCGTGAAAGGGAAGGCGTGCGCTCTGCACGCTGGCGCACAACCTGTGCTAGTGCTTCGCTCAGCGCCTTTTCCTCAACGGGGTAGCTCTCGGGTGACATGCTGGCCGATTGTGAGTAGGAAGCGCCTGGTGCAGCTCTCGATTAAAAGGGGGTGGTGGAACTGGTCGACAGCTCGCGTGCTGATAGGGATCGCGACGACGGATCGATGGGTGATGTTTTGGCGACGCACCAGCCATGACAGCTTACCCGTCAGCCACAGCTCCTCCACGACTCGAGCCCCTATTCGTCATATCCCGGACCCCGTGCGCCACGTCAATGCAAAACGCGCAGCCAGCCAAGGGCCAATCGCATCACAGGCCCTGCACCATGGCACTACTTCAGGGGCTTGTGCTATTGGCTTCGCATCGAGTTGCGCCCACGAGGCGCCCGGATTGTGGGACAGTCTCAGCACTGTACACGATTGAGAGTATGCCAATAGAGTTTCTCTCACTCCACGTCATCAGTGCGCCGCAACGCGCTCATGTCCTGTCAAGGGGCGGCTTTCACGCGGCCCACCCGTATGCCTGTGCCGGTAGGGCCTTGTTTGCCGCGCGCGAGCAGGTTTTGGCGCCTGGGGTTGTGAATGCCCGGTCCGAGGGGTCACAACCGGTCCGGCGTTATCGGCACTTGCAATGGAGCACCAAGGGTCGAAGACCTCTTGTTTTGCGCATCGTCGCGAGCGTCCAAGGACCAAAGACTGACCCCCCATCAGCTCTCGTGTCGTAGGGGACTTTGTAGCGCGTGCGGGGTATCTTGTACCCGTCCTGAGAGCTCCGTTCGACCATCCGTGATGATCGACACAGGAGGCGTCCAGCACGCACGCAGGCCGTTGAACGTTTCTCATATTGTCGAGCTATCTACCATGAATTACTAAGCGATGCCATGCCCGAGTAGTACGTAGCATACTGGGCATTGCGCGATGCATATGGGGTTTGTGGCAGGAGTACCATCAGCCCTGCGCGCCGCGTAGACTAGCCGCGCTGCATCTGGCTCCAGTCCCGGTACATAGTTGCTAGCTTACAGGGTCTGGGATCAGCGCTACAGAATGAAACAAGTTGGACAGGCTTGGACAGAATTAGGCAAGATTGGACAAATTGGATAGGTTGGACAAGAATGGATAGACTGGACAGGCTGGACTTGAGGGCTCATCCCCATGCAGGACTTCGATCGCATGTAAGTGCCGTTGCGTGATCGTCTTTGCACCAGCGGGGCCCTGCTTTCTTGGCTACGATCCTGATCAGAGGCCACAAGTGCTTCACGCTCTCCCAGGACGATGATGCTGAGGCAGCCCTGCATCTCAAAAGGCGAATGGCACATGCCAGCTCGAAACTTGTATAAGAAGCCGTCGAGACCGGTCCTCACGTACAGGATTTCTTCCTCAAAAACACCTGAGGACCATGTCACAACGAATGATCCGTGGCTCCTCAACCAAGAAGCATCACTACGCCAGCTTACAATGAAGAGCAAGCCATTTTACCAAGTCCAGCAAGAAATCACGGGTTCTCGAGCCATACATTATCACGGAACTCAATATCAGTGTTTACGAAGACCTAAACACCACCGAAGAGCATGCAAAACATCTGTCAATGCCACAGCCAAGAGAAAGATTCGGTGTATCGCGTGCGGGGCGAAGCAAGTCAAGTTTAGGACAGAGTGCGGTCGGTACCCGGATCAATAACTTGATACAGGCTTAGCATTCATTTACTGATGATCCAAAGGCCACTACATTTGCCAGCCTTGCTTCTCGATTATGACTGACGAAGATGAGGATTGCCTCGCGTGTGGAGGAGAATGGGTATTCTACAGTAAAGGACCTCATTGGGGGTATGCGGATTTCGGAAGGCCTAACGCGGAGGAGCATGCGACAAGAATCTTCGATCGTTTCTAAACTACGACGAGAGGGTAGCTGCACGAGCTATCCAACCATGTCAACTCTTGCACGACGCCATTCTCGGCGCCAGCCTCGGTGCCAGCATCACGCAGTCCGTGGTAACAGCAGCTCGAAACTAGGTCTGTCGGAAGTTTTGTGGATCCAGGCATCACAGAGACGGTTCGGGACGAACCAATCTATCTAATAATCCTTCGTCGATGTAAAATGCCGTTTATGGGTTTAGATTCTTGTCACGGCCTTTGCACAGGGGGATCGCAGCAACCCTGGTGTCACAACACGATCAAATCCAAGAACCCCTGCTGGGACTGTGCATCGCCCCGCTATGGTAAAAGCCAACAAGATTTCAACGTTGCTACATTTGTATGATGACTGTGCCCCTACCTGTGCGGCAGAAAGTTTGGCCAGACCACCTCTTGAACTGTCCTATATGATCTGCATGCAGGCTCCATCCTTGACGGAATCCTCCTCGTCGGTGCATACCGTCACCGCCAAATCATCTTGGAGTTTTTGTAGTGCTGCAAGGATGGGACGCCTCCCACATTAGTGGAAGATTCCAATGTTGTTACGCCTTAAGCGGAGTTGACGCATGGTAAATTCTCCACTGCAGCCTGGACCACGACATCGACAACCCACACAATAGCATCGAAGACGATTCGGCGAACTTGGCAAGCTAGATTACCGGTTGTCAATCGAACACCACCGCTTGTGGTACTGCAGGCATTTTCACCACTACTGCCCGTGCAGCGGATGTCGACAATCAAGACATCGACGACGATGGCAGCACTAGACTTAGACTCACCGTCGCCGAGTATGATCACACCGGCGTAGATGACCAGCATGATCGTGGGTCTTATGAGAGCTAGGGGAGCTTCTAGAATGGTCCCGACTCTAGTCCGGAAGTTCCATCGGCGGTATCCCCGACGACACGCCATACCTCGGGAAACCCGCGAAATGGGCGCAGAAAGCTCTGCAGACGGCTCAGTAGTCGTAGACGTTCGACCGGACAAGTCGCCACAGGCTGTGTCGCCGAAGGAGAGTGTACACGGTCCAACAGGAAGCGGAAAGATATCGCACAAGAGTCTCTCGAACCACCCGCAGGCAGCAGCGCCGTGGATGGAAGCAGCCTGCAGAAGAAGGCCAAAACGACAACCTCAAGCCGCACTTAGCGAGGCAGTGCAAATATTGGGAGGGAACACTTCACTCGTTTAGCCAAGTGTCGTGTTCCCAATCACACGCAAACAACCATGGCCCAACAAGCCGCTCAGATCGACCAGATGTCAGCGCAAGCCCTTGCGAGGAAAACGAAAAAGATTCCCAATGATGTCAGTTCTACAAATCTTCAGGACCTCTGTGATTCTTCGCGAAACCAGCTCTACTCTGAGATGAGAAACATTTGGCAGAATGAAATTCAGTCATCGCGCTTCAAGAACTGGTCAAACCGTTCACTCGCGCTTTTAACTGTTATCACGAAGGATATCAAGGAGATGCAGATCGAGATAGAGAAGCGCGCTCGATGCTTATCCACTCTGGATCTCATCAAGTTCTACATCGTCGCCCTGTGTGGTGTGATACCCTCCCAAGGCAAAATGCAGGGCATACTGCTCCTCGAAATTTTCTCCGAGCAGATTCAGACCTTCGCGGCCGCCACAAAGACAGTAGTGCTCGTGGGTGCAGACTGCCCCCCTGGACTCTCAGAGCCGAGGTGCAAATACGAGTCAGCTGATGAGGCTGCAATGCGCCTGGGATCTATATGGACGCAACACAACAACCTTTCCAAGATGGAATTTGGGTGGAATATCGTGCAATCCCATGTCTGCAGTAATCTGGCACGCGAATGGTAAAGCACTAAAGACTCGCTTAAGAACTAACAAGCCTTTAAGAGGAGGGTACTAACACTGCTCCGACGTGGGATCGAACTCGAAACGACGTGCTCGCGAGGGGTTTCTCGGCCGACGCATGCCGGCCGATGCGCGTTGGCTCCGACTTCGAACGCGTAAGCATCGTGGACGAGATAATCTTGCCGTGCTATGAAGACCGGAGGACCGGTCAGTTTGCTTGTTGGATCGGCGCGAAAAGTTGACAACGGACGGTGGAAACCTATACTCACATTGAGAGACTAGGCGAGATTCTCCATGTATGAATCAGATGCGGTGCTTGCGCGACGTCGGCCACTTGTAGATGAGTGCAATTGTCACGGAGGATGAGAGGCGTAGGCACTCGCGTGGAATTGGGCATTCGTTGTTTCCTTCGCGTCTTGTCTACCTTACGCTGCGCTTGAGCTCATTGGGGCCCCTGCATCGTTTTGGCCAAAATAACGTGGTAGAATTTCCATATCCTACTCCATGGTGATCAGCCGACCTGCGAAGTTACAGCCACTGCCAGGCCAGGCTACACTGAAGCATTGGCTCAGAATCGTGCCCTGCTAGTCTTTTGCAGGAAAAGAAAACTTGCTGTGCGCAGGAAGGCTTCGATGCGTCTACCGTGTTTCTCGACGACCTGCGGGTTCCCTCACAGTCTCCAAGCTATGCAGCATTGTATTATGCTCAGCTATGCATAGCATCCCCGTAATGCATGCAAACGAGTCTCGCGGGTCATGCCATCGGATCAGCATGCACTCTCCACGGTACCTGTTGCGAGTACGCGTGTACCAACGAACTGTGCCGGCGAAAAGCACGTTCCAGGTCGCATCCTTTGCATGGTTCTTGAGTATTACAGGGATCGACGGTCCTGCGAGGTGGCTGTGAATGACAGGGGTGGAAAGGCTGCCGATGAGTAATACTGTCGAGCAGACGTGAACACTTGGCCGCTGGCCTCGAGTATTGATGCATCTTCTGTTGATGCCGGGAGATGAGGCACAACTGCTGCCAGAACAGCCCCTGGTTGGCAAAGGCCAGCATAGGAAGCTTCTCAGCACTTCAGTTCTCTCGCCAGTCGGGGCTTTGATATCGTGCTCGCGTCCGTTGACCTGGCCCGCCGTTGATCCAAGCGAGGGTAACTTATGTCACGTCCGCGGGAAATATTGCAACAATTCACTGTTCTCGTTTTCAAAAGCAACCTGTCTCGTGCGAGCCTCAAGTATAATATTTGATATAACATGCGACTCATACTGACTATGGCTTGATTCCAGCGCGCTTTGCTTCCGACAACCATACTTGACTCCCGTAATCTCTGGTGATCTGCTTTTTCGCGTTCCTTCGCGCCTTTTTATCGAGAAATGATAAAGGTTCCTCGCTATCAGCCCAAGACACCATCATCACCGGCTCATCATTTAATCATTCCCACCTGCAAGTGTGAGGCCATGAATTCTCCCATATCGTTCACATCGACCCACGTCCCGGTAACGGCAGTCCGCAGAAGCAGCTCGAGACAGTCTCTTGGCACATGGTTCTCGAGCTCCTGCCACGTCTTACTGATGAAAAAGGCCGATAGGGGGACCACAGACTCCTCCCAGGTGACCATGACCTTTATATGGCCAGTCGTATCGTCCAATTGACAGCGGAGCTCCTTGAGAGTATAGCTATGATCCCAGGGCACCATGACTGGGAACTTGAAAGCAATTCGCCGTGCTTTGCGTCGTCGGGCATCTGGAAGGTGTTCAGAGTCTTCCCGACGCCGCTTGTAGCGTTCCTTAGTGGTGCCGTGCAAACAAGTTGCCGAGGGGACCAAGGAAGGGATGCCCAACAAAGGACTCATGCTCGGATGTCCTGATGCTGGTTCGATTTTGGGAGTCTTGATCACTGCAAGTCCTGCGTCGACAGGCAAACTTCGGTCTCGCTTGATGTCGATAGATGTCTCTAACGGCCGCAGACTCGAAGGTGTTCGTGTCCGTTCTTTCGTTTGTCGCGGATCACCACTTTGCTGCCTGCCCTTCGTCATCAAAGATGAAGGAGCAAGGGTGCTCTGGGGGGGTTGATCCGTTCCGAGACCATCGCGCTGAAGTCTCGCACTTGGATGGTCCTGATTGAGCTGATCGGTTGCAAAACGAGATCGATGAATGTGGGCCGCCTGGACATGTGAGTCTGGGTTGCTGCATTGCTGCCCATTGTCATACACCATGTTTTCCGCCATGCTGATGTGGTTGTTGGAATTCCGAGTAAGAGTTCACAGGCACTTTCAAACTGTGCTGTGACCTTGCTATAGGATGCGAGGATCAGAGACTGCTTGGATGAAGGATTGTGCAATGGTATGGACCGATGGAAGTGGGAGACTGCAGAGGAGTGTAGCAATTGCCGAGAGTCTTCGGGGGGTTTTATAGACCAAGATTCCTTGTGAAATCCTTCCACGCCGGCATCCCTCTGCCGAACCTCGCAGGTGCAGTGCGGTGCTGGAATCACTGCTTCCTACCTAGGCGTTGCAAAATATGGGCTGAGTCACGTGCAACTGCCAGTACTTTGATGCTGGAGTTCAAGCTTGTTTGATCGGCACCGGGGCCCATGGAGGGCGAGCCAGTCCAATGGAAACCATTTCTCCTCATCTTGGAACGACGACGACAAAGGGACTCCACGCTGAAGTCATGGCCTGCTGAAGGACCTTGACTATTACATCTAAATTCTGCTCATATGCGCCGATGACGCGCTAGGAGACATCATGGATGGGTGTTGTAGAACAGTGTTAATTTTGCAAGGATACCTCCGGACTGACATTCAAAACACACCACCTCACATAGTGATGCTCCTTCTCCTCGCAAGAGTTCACTCGCCGCCGTGTAAAGCGAGACTACACTCACCTCCGGGTAATATGCTTTATCCAAGTTATTAACGAGCAGGCTTGTTTGCCATCGTAGTTGCAAGAATCACATTGAAGCGTCACATATGGGGGTGCATATGAAGTTATTGGTGATAGCAGAAGTGTTTCAAATGAAGGAACGCGCCGAAGGCGCCGGCGGTGCGGTGCTCAGATGTGGTTCACCGGCGCACCGACCACCTGGGCTATCTGCTTATCTTATCGTATGAGGTGGCCCTGTCATCCCTTTGGATGGCTAGATAACTACCCGTACTAATTAAGTCGAAGCAGCGATCACCTCATCGTACTTGGCGAAGAGACCCGCGTTGGCCGCAGAATGGCTCTCCTCGATAGCCTCCCGTCTGTCCTCAGATCGAACCTTCAGATCGACCGGGAAATCTTTGATGGACAAAACCAACCCTTCGACGTAGCCGGTCATTATGTCAGTGTCTATTCCAATGGGTTTGCCAGTCGCTGGATCGGTTGGAAGCGTCATGTCAAACGCCCACAGCATCTTTGATGCGGCGTGCATGAGGTTGCGTTCCGCAAGATGTATGCCAGGGCACAGTCGTCGACCATTCCCTACGGCTGGAGTCAATTATCAAGAAATATGTTTCCGGCGAACGAGCAAGCTTACCATAAGCATAATGATCGCGCTTCTCTGGGTCCGCAACATTGGCATACTCGGACGCGAAACCGGTGAAACCTTGAAATCGATCGGGGTCGAACTTCTCAGGGTTTGGATACCGCCTCTCGTCTCGACATAATGTCCAATTGTTGAGAAACACCGTTGATCCTTTTGGAAGCAGCTTGTTGTCAAGCCAGACATCTGTCGCTGTTAGTTTCCACAGCTGAAAAGACATCCGTGAAGATGCTCACCTTCAGACAGTTCATGCGGAGGGCCAAGGCCCAACAACGGCCGCCACCTCTGGACCTCCTTGATGATGGCCATCACATACGGCAAGCGACCGAAATCCGACAGATCAGGTATGCGATCAGACGGGACCTCACGATCAATCTCGGCCTGTGCTTTCTTTTGTATCTCGGGGTGCAAAACCATTGCGGTGACAAAGTTGGCCAGGGTGGTTGCCGAAGTATCGGATCCACCCTTAATCGTCACCCCAGCAAGGTTGGCAATCTGATGGCGCGTCAAAGTCTTCTCCCCAGATTGGTCCAGCATTCGATCGATGATGCTGCCGGTGGAACCAATGCGCTGTCTCCGACGAACGACTGTGTCGTGAAGTCCATCATACAAGTCGCGCATTTCATCATGCACAGCACGTGCTCGGGACTTCCAGTTGTTGAAGAATCGTTCTGGTACCCAATTCAGGGCCGGGATGATGTCGACGGGCGGAGTGGCTCCCGGTCTGTTGATCACCGTCCACTGACGCATTAGTTCTTCGAATCGCAGGATATACGGATCCTCAATACGTGGCTGCCGAATACCGTAAACTAAGAATATGTTAGTGGTAGTCAGGCGAGCATTCTGATAGGGAGAGACTTGCCGAGGCACATGATTAGGCTGTTCGTGAAGCGCTCGATATGTCTTCTCCATTCGGACTGGTCCTGCATCATATCGTACAGCATTTGCACAGATTCGGCATGCTGGAGTGGCGCATGCGTGCTATTGCACATGCTTTGCGTCAAATCGGTGTGGATCAGCTTGCGCAAGTCGCGCCATTGCGTTGTTGCATTCATCCACAGCAAGTGTTCTCCCCCTGTCAGAAGCTGTTGCCGAAGCATACTGACTGGCCGATTACTTGAGACAGCGCTCTGCTTGTCAAGAACTTGCTTCACAGCGTTTCGGCCGCTGAGAACGATGGTGTAGCTCGGCCCAACGGTCAACGCAAAGCAGTCCCCGTATTCTTTCGCCCATTGGTCCAGTCTGTAGGTGGGTCAGCTCAGGTTCGACAAGATGCACTCGCAGCATCATTCGTACTTAAGGAACAATTTGGACGTGGGCATCTGCAGCAGGTTGCCCAAGAACGGCGTTGTGGGAGGGCCTAATCACAGTCAGCCGTTTCGTGTTTCAATCATCGACAATTTGAATGTTCTGGAAATACCATTTGGCATATGTCGGCGCCGATGGCCGATGGTCGAGCAGGCATGGATGAACAACGCCAATGGCAGACAGAATGCAATGAAGTAGACCAACATGATTGTGACTTTACTCCAACGAGTATTGTTCGGATTGATAGATTGGAGTCGTGCACAAGATAATGGATGAACAGGAATGGTTCAACAGTCAGTGCAAGCAGCCACTTTATCTATTGCTGCCGTCATGGCTGTCGTTTTGGTTACCCCACGGGAAGAGGCAAAAGAGAACTCGTCCTCTGCACACCTGCGCTATGAGCTGGCAGCCTGTCAAGCCCCGATGGTCCGCCTACTCCACATTCCCCAGCTTCTCCTCAACGCCACGATCGACAGCCCCAGCGCCACCGGCAGCGAGACACGGCACCCCGTGGTCACCCATGCTCTTGGTCCTCTTCAACAACGCGAGATCCCTCGGCCTCCGATTGGATCACAAGAAGACTGAGGCCCTGTACGTTCCACGCGTAGTCCCGTTCTGGCTACTTCGTAATAGTGCGTTCATTTCCGGGCGAGCTGTGGGGCCGCCCCCTCGCCCGAGTCACCCAAGCAAGCGCTCGACTCCACTCTCTCGCGAACATCTAGACGCCGCTGGTTGTTCCCGGACCAAGGACCAGCCCCCAGACGACCCGGCCAAGTTTCGGTACTCCCGGACTTCGTCAAGCCACGAAATGAATGGTGGAACGAACACAAGCCCGAGCACCGCCCGTTGGCCTCCCTCCCCCGCGTCGACCTGGCGCGTGTGGTCGGACAAGTCCCCGGACACTGGGATTTCCAAGAATACCACCACCGGTTCGACCACCCAGTCGAAAGTTTCACGGACTGCCTCTGCGGCGATCCCAACGAACAAGGACACTACAAGTCGTGCCCCATCACCAAGGCACTCCTCGTCCAAAACAAGAACCGGGTGGCTCCCGGCGCCTGGGGCCCGATCAGGTATGCTGCACTCCACCACGAGTCCGGAAGTTCAGAGATATCATCTGTGCAGGGACATAACCCAAGCAAGAATCGAGCACTGCTGCCTTAGCCTCTTTATACTTCATCAGCTAGCAAATATGCACGTTGTCCCGCACAAAATCGTCATCTTTCGCAATGCTCTCGTGAATTGGGATCACGTCGTAATTTCAGCCCGATCTTCTCCGTGGGCACACCTCAGGGGCGCGCGTGTCGTGAGACCACCTATACTGACACGTAACGAAGTTCGAGTTTTTACTTGCGACCTCATTGCTTGATATGTAGATCACCAATCTCGCGCACTACTCGAGCTAGCGATTTTGCTATCTGTGCTCGAAGGAGGGACAATATCCTTTCGCCTCTCAAGATTGGTACTCGGACCTGCGAGGGTGAAGGCTCCGAATCACCAAACGCAGCCTTGACATACAAAACTAGTGTTGCGTAGTAGATCGCGTACGGTATGTGAGGTGCTTCGTGTTGGGCGTGTTGCGGGTCTCCAGGTGCCTCAATCTGTTGTTGTCTCGAGTCCACTTGTCTGGATGGCAGGAGATTCTCCGCGGCGGCCAATAACCTCTCCGCATGCCAGCAGGCAATCTGGTGTTCACGACTTTTCAGCCAAGTGTTGATGCTTTTCGGTGCAGCAGCAGCGGTCCGGCTATCGGCTTGAGCGGAGCTGCGGTTGATGTGTACCAAGGTCTGCAGAACGACGAGGCCCGTGTGGAGCATGATGCACATTGCGTGGTACAGAGAGAGGTCAGACAGGCTCTTGCAATGTTCCAAATGTTGCACTTGCGCACATTTGTCAAGAGCCAGCTCCACGAAATCCGGTCTGTCGAGACGACTCGCAAGCGTAGGCAGCACGCCGCGACCGTCAGAATCCCGGGATGGTCCAAGTCCTGACCATAAATGAGGTGCTAGTGAAGCTAATGTAGTCAGGGTCGAAGGGAGCCCATGGGCATGGACGTTTCCATCGACAATGCTGGCAGTAGCTAGAACAGTTTGCTTCAATTTGCTGTCTGGTGTTGCGCAGCGTGCTATGTCGTGCCACATCATCGAAGGCGGTCTCAGCATAATGACAACACGGTAGGAGTCCAGAACGTAGAGTGCTTCGAGTAGTCTGTGGTACAGCTGGTCAGCCAAGTCACTGGACTCATATCAGCACGAGTTCGTCATTACTTCGTTGCGGACGTGTCTTCCGATTCAGTAAGATCGCTGCTCAAGGTTTGAGCGTATTCTGTAACTGCCTGAGAGGGATGAGTTCGTCGGAGAGCCTCAAATCAGGCACAGCGGGTGACGCACGGTAGTGAGACTGCCTTGGAAGGCCTCGCCTATCTCGTAACTCCTTTCCTGCCCGCTGCACAACCCATACACTTCCAATAGGATGAACTACGAGTTGCGTTAACCTCGGATATCAATGTTATGAGAAGTCCTTTTAATACCGTTGCCGCGACCTCAAGGGCGGATGAATTGCTTCTGGGTGTGTACTCCAAAGAATGGTACTGCGCGACGTTAACAAATGATTTTCATGCCGGAAGCCGTACTCACCTCAGCCAGCAGCAGTCGACGAGCATCATTATACATGGCGTTGGCAACGTCGATCGATCCGGACACTACACTAAACAAGCCACCGACTGCTGCCAGTGCATATATGTATTTGATTGAGTGCTTTATCGTCTCGGGCGCGGCTTCACGGTACAGATCAAACACCTGCGGAGCGTGCCGTTTGAAAAGTTCCCGAAAGATCCGGACAGTATCGCTGTCATGGCTGCGAAGATCGGGCGGTGCAGAGTACCACATCTTTCGGCGTGTGCTGCCTGAAGGCGAGACTTGTTGCGAGCGCGAGTCGAAGTAGTCAGCCATATAGGTTGTCAGTCGCAATGTCGGACTCGCAAGTACGGGTTGCTGTTCGGTTTTCTCAAACAGTCCCGGACAATACAAGTCTATCTCTTCCAGCCAGTTGTACTCTATAGGCTGAGGATTTAGTTCGTGCATATCAAGGAGATCGTCCCAGCCTGTGGGAGTGGTGTTGTCTTGAAGAGGAAAGAAGTCCAGTCCTTGGCCGTTCACATCTGGAAGGCGGGATCCGTGGGAATGTTCAGGTCCTGAGATTGGCAGTCCAGAGTCTGCTGTTTGCTGTGGGAGCGCTTGATTCAACCCATTGCCCTCTCTCGCCAACGCGGGCGACGATGTGACTGGCACAGGCTCTGGACTGATGACGATCTGGTCCGCATAGCCTTCGTTACAGCATTGCTGAGACCTCGTCCGGCAAGGGTCACAGGGTTGCTGTCCGTCGCATGCAATTTTTCGTTCACGGCATCCTAGGCAAGCATGTCGCACACGTTTGCGACCACGTTGGTTCCCTTCTGCGGTAGATCCGAGATCCAGGGTCGCCGAGCAAGACTTTTCGTGCGCTGCTCGGACATCTGCCCTTTGGAAGGATTTGCGGCACACCTCACACCGATATGGCGCTTCTCCGGTATCTAAGGATTGGGTCAGCCCCCAAGTCACTGGGGTAGGACACAGAAGTACCCACGGGTTCGGCGATGCCTAGCAAGATGCTCTGCTCGAGCGAACACCCGGGAGCAGTATTCGCACTGCAGTGGACACTCCAGAGTCAGCGGCCGGCATCGATCGGCCTCGGGATGGTTGCTTACCTTCTTCTCCGCTCGGCCCATATTATTCACCCTCGACGACGGAGTAAGGAATGGGGTTGGGGAAGCAAATCTCCCTAGGTAGAAGTGATGAAGAAATGGATGGGGTTGTGCTGACCCCACCAGCCGAGGTGTTCCCTATAGAAGTAATAAAGGAATGGATGGCCGGGGGGTTGGGCTGACCCCATTAGCCGATGTGTTCCCCCGGCTTCTCCCCGTACGCCACCTACCCCAACCCCACCTTAATAAAGGAATGGATGGGGTTGTGCTGACCCCATCAGCCGAGGTGTTCCCCCGGCTCTCCCCGTACGCCACGTAGCCCAACCCAATCAGCCGAGGTGTTCCCCCTGCTTCTGCCCACACGCCACGTACCCCAGCCATCCGCGCCATCCGATCGTGGCGGGCGCATCTTCGGACTTCGATGACCTGCCGTCCGTCCGTCCAGATCTGGCGGTCATTGGGGTCGGACACATCATCTCCAATCTCCATTCAGCAAGGTCAAACGATGGAAACTCCAACAGCCAGTGTATGGCCCGCTAGGCGACACCCGACCCGCTGGGAGTCGGTCGACGCCCACCAGGGACCCCCAATCTCGGTCAAGGAACGTTTCCGTACCGTTCTGGTGCACGGCGAGGGTGACGCAGTCCGTCACAATGCTTCCTCCTTGGATCTCAGTTCTTGTCTTGCCACGCCTGCAGCTGAAGCTGAAACTCGGCCACACACGTACCCGTTGACACTTTTCCATGGCCTACAAGCTCTCCCGACCGATAATGAGCTTGCAGCCTTGCGTCGTGTATACGGCGACACCTTTGGAACACACGTCTACGTTAGCGAGTTCGGCGCCGAGGGAATCGCAGCTCAGTCCAACCCGCCATATCTGCAGCTGACGTTGGCTTTGGCTTGCCTTGCCTCGATTTTCTCCGAATCGCCAACAAAGACGCAGGATGCATCATACGCCGTGTCTGCGCATCTTTTTCAAGCTGGCTACCACATTTGGCTAGCGATGCTGGAAGTCGATGGTCGCGAAACCCGTAGCGCGAGGGCAGTAATTGCAGTAAGTTTGAACAGAGCCTGTTCAGATGCCGTTCATATCTCAGCGTTCAGTAGGCAGGCCTCTTTTCAACATACGGTATACTTGCATCAGGGAGCGTGATCAAGCGAAAGACAGCGGGGCTTCTTAGTAACGTGACGAATGTAGGTACGGACCAGTGTTGTTGCAAGATCCGGAGCTGATCTTGAGTAGGTCATCAGACGAATGCGAATGACCGATGATTCTGCGTCTGCACATACTGCATCGAGTGCGTCTGAAAGACATCTGGTCGGAAAGAGGCGAGTAGAACCAAAGAGATCTCGAGTCCGGTTTGAATTCAAACTGACTGGTTGCAATAGCGCACTGCTATGGTACATGTTGCTGATTGATATCATTCACGGCCTGAAAAGCAACACCGCGCCAATCTACTCAATCAGCGAGCTATCAATTCGCCTGCCACAAAAGGGCTACCCATTTCAGATGATCAATGACGCACTACTTCATGGTCAAGCTCTTCCAAATGATCTAGGCCATCGCGAAGACGCTCTGGCATTGTCCATTGCGCTTCTCTCGAACATCATACGAACTCACAAGACGTGCTTTGGGCCGTTGAGCGTACTCATTCGTCCAGATCCGTGGAATCCTTACCGGCCGCTCACCTGGAGATCAGAGCTCGCGAGTGCTGTCGCAGTGTTCAACACCGCGCTCGCTCGGTGGGAAAGTCACTTCCTTCAACACGCGGACCATGATGTACTCGCCTTACACTACTTTACAAAGCTCTATCTCATAGTTCCGAGCATCGCGGAACTTCCAAGCCTGGCTCGTAGCGGTTCGATCCGTCCAGTGCAGTTGGCCGAACAAATGACCATCCCTGATGAAGCATTGGAAATCGCGTGGGACGTCTTCGAGCACGTTGACTCTGCCATCACGGTGAAGAATCACAGAATGTCGATCTGGCTACCCGAAATTACCTTCTTGTCAGCTCTGACTGTCTGGCACAGCCATTCGAACAACGGCCATCGGGGGAGATATGGTGGTATTCGGTCACTCGCCATGTACCAGAAACTCTTGCTACAGCTACCATGGCCATGCTGTACGGAGATGGCGGCAGTCCTGGATAAGGCTGCACGGCAAGAGTGACTTGCTCTTGAACCAGAAGAGATTACGTTCATAGATATGCACTTCTTAATCTTAGCGACGAAGAGCAATCGCTGCTCTTAGACCCCCGATCCCGCTGCCGGCAACGAGCACCTTCAGCGGGTGGGCATTGCCATCTTGGCCACTGTGTTCTTGTTTATGCGAGTGCGACCATTTTTAGCGAATGTTAAGGCGCAGCTGTGGAATCTCGCAGCTATAGCAAACGCTGTGCCTAACCGGTGGTCTGAGATCCGTGAGAAGATTCCGAGCCCATGGACGACGTGATACATACAACAACCTACGCATCGCGTATCCGATCAGTGTTCAATGCCTGGTCATCGTGTGACAGCGTCACATGCTGCGCTTTCGGACTGCAACTCATTGCGCATACCTATGGCCACGGTGTAATTGTGCGCATATCCTTCTCGGATCGCAAAGAAAAATCTCTCGTCGTCGCAGCATCCGCGCTTTCCATCAAATCGCCGCGATACCGATCTGGAAGGTAAGGCCCGAACCTCCATCGGAAGCAGCGCTACCCTGACCACAGCAACGATATTGCCCGCCCGGAACCCTCGACTCGTGCCAGCTACAGTACCCCTTCTTCACATTATAATGTGGGTGGCTCGTGAACTCGGGATTGGTTCGCACAGACAAGAGCCCGCTCTTATCCTTAACGAATACCTTTACGCCTTCTCTTCGTGATCGATTTGGTCGAGCTTCTTCAACTTGCAGCACAGCAAGGAACGCGGTGAGTCACTGCTCATATAATACTGCGCCATGAGTTCAACCATGTTATGATACTGTACTGTTGGATTGATCGAGCATTCTTGTAGCATGCTCCTCGCCGTTAGGCCTTGGGACGTCCGCATAGACCCAATGAGGCTTTCGACCGTATAACAACCACTCTCTTCCACACAAGTGGCAAAGTCATCCTCCTCAGTCATAAGATTGAAGCAAGGTTGGCAAAAGTAGTGGTCTTTGGATCATCAGTAACTGAATGCGGAGCTTGAATAGAGTGGGTTCATTTGGGTACTGACCGCACTCTGTCCTACAGCTGGCTGGCTTCTCTTCGTACGCGGTACATAGAGTATCGCTCTCGCGGTTGGTCGAAGACTGCTGACCGTCGCCTTGAGAACCTGCGCTGCCCTGGCAGTCTTTCATGGCCTGATCTATATGCTGTCCCGTCGGTATGTTGGAGAAAGTCCGAGGCCCTGGCTGATGATCCCGAGTCGTTTTGTGATGAGCAGAATTCTTCGCTATAGATTTGTCAGATCTTTTGCAAGCTCTTGGGCGGTGTTTGGGTCTTCGTGAACATTGAGATCGAGTTCCGTGATATTGCGTAGCTCTAGATCCCGAAACTTCTTGCTAGATTTGGTGGAATGGCTTGCTCTTCATTGTAGGCTAGCGTAGTGATGCTTCTCTGGAGCTTTGCGAATTCTTGGATGAGAAACTTAGAATCTCTCGTTACGACATCGTGGTCCTCGTAGGTGATACTGAGGAAGCAATCCGGTACGCGAGGACTGGCCTTAGCGATTTTTCATATAGGTGTCGAGCTGGGATGCGCCGTTCGAATCTTGAGGTGTAGGGCTGCCTCCGTGCTGTTATCCTGGGAGAGCGCGAACCACTTAGGGCCAAGGGCCATGTTCAGAGCAATGGGACCTGATAGAGATGACGATTGCGACCCGGTCTACTTGCGATCAGGCGAGGTTGCCGAGTACAGAGTGGTGCTGCACACTGTGAATCGAAATAGCAATACCGACACACCCAACCACGTCCGGCTGCAGCGCACGTGCGTGTACAGCTTTATACTAGGTAGATGTGCTCGGTGTTTGTATAACTGGGCGACAGTCCAGGAGGAGCTCGGCGTCGGTAAAGGAGACGGGCCTGCGGGAACGGCGAGGGACTGTCGGACGACCTCGCGGCCGAGAAAGCCCGTCGCGCCGGAGACGATGAGCTTCATTACGTTTAGAGAGCTGGCTTTCGAGGTAGGTAGCGGGCTAATTGAAGAGGGAAGTGGGTAGGAGATCGGGAAGAGGTATTGAGAGGCCAAGATATACCGCGGTTGGTGGCGAGGACGATATTGCCCGTGGAATGTATTTCTGGAGATTGCTCCGGCCGGGAGGAAGCAGAATCCTGTTATACCAGGGGGTCTAGGCGATGAAGAGGCTCATGAGATGGTTGTCAAGGTGGTGTATTTACAGGCTTTCGAGACTTGGGGGCTCAGGAGCATCGGCATCAGATCCGCGAGGCAGTCGCTGAGGTACGTCTACTATCGGCACCTCAGGTTCCTTCTGGGCATTTGCAGAGCCCCGAAAAGTGAAAGACATGATTCAGCCACGGTCGCGGCCTGATTGTTCGTCCGCGGTCTCAGAGCTTGTCCTGTCCTCCGAGCGGAGCGGGCCCCACCAAGCGCCGGGCCGCATCCGGAAGTCCAGAGTCGGAGGGAGTTGGTCGCCAGAAACGGCGGGCGTGTGGTCTTGAGCGGGAATTGATCCATCGTATGTGTCATGTATCGCTGCTTGCCTTGTCCTTTCTGCGCCATAGGGTCAACTGGAGCTCTTCTGGTTGGTAGTGAAAGCATGGGTTGTGCGAGGTGCCGGTGTGGTGGTCGTCAGCGCCAGCGATCCTTAGCCGAGTCTGACACCTCAGGCAAGCCTGCACCAGACCAAGGTCCCTGAGATTGCGAGGCAGACAGCGGCTTTTCCAGCGTGCATGGTCGAGCGGAGCAGATTGGGCCCCGAAGTCGTGTAGCCATCCATACAGACCTGCAGGACGGCCACCCACCTTCTCCTTGTCGGCAAGGGTTATTGATCATTCATCTCGTAAGGGCGAGTAGCCCGCGAGGCTCTCAGGTCGCTACTGCGCCAGCCTGAAGTGAGGGGTATCATGCACACAAGGACGAATCACAGGGCGTTTCTGAGGTCGCAGCCCAGAGTCCCGGCACTCAGCCCCGGTCGCAGTCCGCGGGCGTGTGCGTGGCATACACGAGGCGCCTGCAGAGAAGCCAAGGCCCGGACGGGCTGTAGTTATGGCCAAAGCCTGCTGAGACAGCAACCCACACGCCGCCGTCTCGAGTCTTTATCGCTGACTCTGGACCAATGATCCTCTCTTCTCTCTTCCTTGCGCGGTGTCCGCCGGACAGAGCATCCTCGATCGATATCCTTCCCCTGACCTTACATTCGGTCCTTCGCGGCGGCCACTAGGTTCCGTTGACGACGATCAGCTGCGGGGAAGTCCTGTCAGCTCCACCTTTGTGTAACCTGGTGAGAGCCTGATCTGGTGCTCACCAGGGTCAGCGAGCATCCGGTCCTTTCCATGCTCCTCCCCGACTTTGCTTAGATCTTTTGCTACTTAGTGCATCTTCACTCTGGCATTCTCTATATTACGAGCGATTGCGTACCAGTGACACCCGCACCTTCCCCTCCGCTCGAGATCGAACGCCAGCCATGTCAGACCCCCAGAAATACACGGTCGGTTGGATCTGCGCCATCACCACCGAGTCCGTAGCAGCCCGGGCCTTCCTCGACGAAGAACACGACGGCCCTTGCTAAGTCTCACAGCACGACAACAATAACTATGTCCTGGGCAAGGTCGGCGGCCACAATGTAGTCATCGCCGTCCTGCCTGATGCAGAATATGGCATAGCGCCCGCGGCGGCAGTAGCCCGAGACATGCTCCACAGCTTTCCGAACGTGCGCATCGGATTGATGGTCGGCATTGGAGGCGGTGCGCCTAGCCGGAAGCGTGATGTCCGACTCGGTGATGTAGTAGTCAGCAGTCGCGATGGCGGCAAAGGCGGCGTGTTCCACTACGACTTTGGCAAGACTATCCAGAATCAGTCATTTCAAGAGACTGCATTCTTAGACCAACCACCCACGGTGCTGCGGACGACTGTGAGCACGCTCAGAGGCACATACGAGATGAATGGCCACCAGCTTGTGGACGATGTGGACAAGGCATTGACGAAGATCAAGAAGCGAAAAAAATACACACGGCCTCCTCCAGCAAGCGACAGACTATACAAACCCGACTTTATACATCCTTCACAATCGTCTGACGGCTGCGACGTCGCGTGCGGCAATGACGAAACCCACCTGGTGGTCCGGAAGGAACGAGACGAAGAAGAGGAAGACGATCCCGTGATTCACTACGGCTTGATTGCCAGCGGAAGCCAACTGATGAAGGATGCGCGTATCCGGGACAAGCTGGCGGATGAAAAGGGCGTCCTTTGTTTCGAGACGGAGGCGGCCGGCCTGATGAACCACTTCCCATGCCTAGTGATCCGCGGGATATGCGACTACTCCGACTCGCACAAGAACAAGGAGTGGCAGGGCTTGGCGGCAATGATGGCGGCGGCGTATGCGAACGATCTTCTGCGTCAGATCCCGCCCAACAAAGTCGAAGAGGAGAGGCGGATCAGTGAAGTACTCAGTTCGGGTTAGTAGCGCAGTTCTAGTCCATGGAATTTTAGCTAACTATAAGTAGTTCAAAAAGATCTAGAACGTTTACACCTGATGGCGAATGAGACCAAAACTGCAGTTGTGACTATGGAACAAAACGATCGCCTCGCTCAACTCGATCGATGGCTTCGCCCACCCGACACATCAACGAACTTCAATCATGCGAGAAAACAATGGCACGAGGGATCCGGGCTATGGTTCCTGAAGAGCGCTGCCTTCAACGAGTGGAAGCGTGGATCACATCGCCATCTGTGGCTTCACGGCTTAGCAGGATGTGGCAAAACCGTCCTCAGTGCGACAATAGTGGATCATCTCCGGAAGATGGACGATTGCGTCACCCTTGAATTCTATTTCGACTTCAACGACACCGCGAAACAGAAGATGGACGGGGTGTTACGCTCCCTCCTCTTTCAGCTCTACAAGTTAGGGTCTCGCTCTAAAGACCTCGACAGCTTATACCAATCCCACCTCGACGGCCAGCGGCAGCCAGACACACCGACTTTAACAAACTGTCTCCGCGCGATGATCAAGGGCTCGAAAACTACTTATGTTATTCTGGATGCCTTAGACGAGTGTCTGGAGAGAAAGGAACTGCTTGGGTGGATGAAGGAATTCTTCACAATACCCGACCTGAGCCACGTTCATCTGATTGCCACTGGCCGGCCAGAAGAAGAGTTTTTGAGCTTCATTCCCGGCTGGCTCGGCAACGAGCACTGTTTGCCACTGGACAAGAACGCTGTTAACGCCGACATACGCTCCTATGTCGCAGCGAGGCTTGAACAGAGTTCCGATTTCGTGGACAAGGGCCTATCTCAGGATCTCCTCGAACAGATACGCAATAAAGTCGGAGACCGGGCTGATGGCATGTGAGTTTCCCTCTATCATCTATAAACCCAAGCGAATATCTGACATCCAGTATAGGTTCAGATGGGCCGCATGTCAACTGGCCAGTCTTGCAACATGTATGAGTCCCAGAGCTATCGAAATAGCTCTTGAGACTTTGCCCCGGGATCTCGATGAGACGTACCGTCGCATGCTTCGAAGCATCCCGGCAGATATTGAGAAGGATGCCATGCGCCTCCTGCAGTTTCTCGTCCACACCAAGCGGCCGTTGACACTATTAGAGGCCGTAGAGGTAATAGCCACACAGACGGATGAGGAGCGACGAGGCTTCGACCCGAAGCGCAGACTGTTTCGTGAAGCCGATATTCTACGGCACTGTCCCAGCTTGGTGTCAGTCACGGACAATGGAAGGACTAGGAAGGAGCTCCATCTTGCCCACTTCTCTGTCAAAGAGTATCTTCTTAAACAAGACCAGTTTGACCTCAGCAGTGCTAGCATTGTCATCACAAGAACCTGTTTGAGTTACCTTACGGATATCGAGGGTAGCTCCTGGAAAATCAAGCAGGATTTTCCGATGGCAAGATATGCGGCGGAGTACTGGATGGGCTATGCAACTTCGGCAGAGACTTCTGAAGCCGTTGTTCGGACAGCAGTCAGGTTTTTACAGGACGAGTCAACTTTTCAGCGGTGGAGTCGGTTGTATCAGGCTGACCGGGAATGGGACAGCGATCCGGGCCCTCCTCGAGCATCCAGACTCTATTATACTTGCCTAGGTGGACTCGTAGCAGCTGCAATAGGCCTGCTGGGCGAGGGCGCCGACGTCAACGCGCAGGGCGGCGACTACGGCAACGCTCTCCAAGCTGCCTCAGACGGGGGCCACAGAGAAGTTGTGCAACTCCTACTAGACAAGGGCGCTGACGTCAATGCGCGGGGCGGCGTCTAGTACGTCCCTAGAGCCCGCCAGAGATATCACACCCATCTACGTTGCGACCTCTCGGTACATCCGGTCATCGTAGACCAAGAATATAGGACTATGTTAATAGCTATCTAATGACCCTAATTTCAAGTTACCTCTTAACATCGTTTGTGCTGATTGCCAAACAAGGCTTGACTGCGACCTAACAGCGCGCATACAGCAACCTCGCTCTCGTATTGTAATTCCCCGTCTGCACTGTTTAAGGCCGTTCCTCTGTTCCACGTGCCTTAGGTAAGCAAGCAAACCAGTACTATCCGGGACATTTGACTGTGGGAACAAGCACGGTGTAAGCGCCAAGTGGCCCCAAAAAGGGCATTAGAGATTAAACCAAAAGAGTGAACAGCGGAAGCCGATTTCGCTAGTGACTGTACCTCTCGTGGATCCAATCCGGCACTCCAGGAGGATGTGCCGCACCGTCTGCGGCCCGTAGTCGCATCGACACTGGTCGATATCGGCCTTGTCAATGGAGTGGAGGTAGGCACGGAGGCTAATCTTCCCCGTGCGCATCCGTGTGATCACCGAACTGATTGCTCTGTGTGCTCCGCGATGTGTACTTAATGTCGCTTTGCCCGGCCGCGTTGAGCCGGAAGAGGGCAATTTCCCAGGCTTTCTCCCATTCGCCTCGCAGCTTCTGGCGAACGGCGAGCTTCGTGGTTGCCATAAGGATCCCGGGATCGTTGTTGGAGGCGCCTCGGCATGGGGTCCTGCGGCCTGTTGGCGGCTTGGTCCGCCATTTCGTTGCCTGATACGCCGACATGGGCCGGGACCCAGCGGAACTGTACCTCCCAACCTCGGCTTTGGAGCTCATCGAGCGTTCAAGTGGCCTCAACCAGGAGGTACTGTCCCGACGGGCATTTGGGGTTCCGCATCGCTTGGAAACCGGCTCGGTTGTCGGTGAAATTGTCGCACTTGCCGGGGCGGTGAGCAGGCCTCCGGGGAAGGGAAACCCGGCCGAAGTGGGGCCTCTCGGTGCGGTCTAAATTGCGCCGCACGTCGGACCGACCTGTCGGCTCAAAACGGCACTCTTTAGATTCGCCACTAACATTGCTTTGACAACCGTCACTCCCCTTCCTCGCTCATCGGCCCACGCCGAGGCCGCTTGTCCTCTTATGCGACGTTCGCTTCGTGAAATGCGGGCTGAGCGCACCGTTCTTTCCGATAGGGTACGTGGCGAATATAGACTATCAATAGTATAGCTGCTATCCTCGTCCAGAAGATGTACCTTACCTCTAACATAAAGTTCAGCAAGCGTTATCCTTCCCTATCGTCACTATCCCCATCGTCACTATCCCCATCGTCACTATCCCCATCGTCACTATCCCCATCGTCACTGTCCCCATCGTCACTGTCCCCTTCATCACTGGATTTCCCCTCCACATCAGAGCAGTGCTTTTTATATGTGTCATCACCCGCGTCGTCCAACACGTCGTCCTCCACATCACAACCAGCAGACGGAAAAAGTCTGAGGTACACCGGTTCGTCGAGCTGTTGGCGAAGGAGCTTCTCATTGATCCCTACGTCGGAGAGCTTGCGACGTGATGAAATGAATTTCCGGCTCGGCACAACACTGATCATTCCATTCTTGCAGTCGACCTTCTCGATATCTCCTTTCTTCCAGCCCCTCTTGAATAATCGATGCTGCGGGTCCCGGAGTCCACGCCAATCGCTGTCGCACTTCCCTGTTGGGTGTTCCGGTGCCGGGATCAACTGGAGGTACGCCGCGCCGTCAACACTCCCGCGCAGAGCCAAGAGCTCATCCCTTAGATTCATGACGTCAGGACACGACGTAATACGTCCCTCCACAGGTACCATGTAGATGTTGCCGCTCCGGTCCACGGACATTCTCGTCATCTCTCGAAGACGCTTCATCCAAGTCTCGTTTCGAAACCGGAAGAGACTGATGAGATTTTTCCAAGACTTGTTTATATGGTGTCCTATAAGGTCCGGCAGGAACTCAACAAACCCCAGGAAAGGATGGAGTGGAACAGGCGGTGTTCCTGGCATTCCGCTAAGGTATACAAAAACTGAGCGGCATCGTAGTTGCAGCTCGACGAAGGGACTCGTCATATAAAACTCGAGTTCGTAGGCGCAAACCAGGTGCGCAGTCGCTGTCATATACTGCGGGCGAGCGCATGCTCATAGATAGCGAGACGTCTGCATCAAATCCCACAGTATGGACTCCTGCTCGTTGGTAGGGATGGGGAGAGGTTCATCGCAGTCACAATATTCCGCCCCGCTGGGGAGTGCTGTGTCGTCCTTAAGGAAGAGGGAAACCGGTCGAGTATCATCCCCAGCGATAAAGCTCAAGACCATCAGGAGGACTTCTTCATATAGCGTGAGTAGAGGCATGCTAATATAGTCAGGGAAGGAGGTTCTTACCAGCTGGCATACGGTGGAGGATCGAAGCTGGTCGATCGGGTTGAGAGAGGATGGAGGCCATTGAACCCCTACACTTGGATAGCAACAAATACGGAATGGTCTGCGGAGCAGTTCGAAGGCCGTGAGCTCGTTGTCAATGAGGGCTTGAAAGCGATCTAACCAGATTGAGGAGTGAGCAAATTGGACGCCCCGTCTATCACTCTCGACACGTAGAAACGCGCCTTAACACACGACAAACACGCGGATGTGGGGTAACCTTTACGGCCAATCATATAAGGAGATGGGACTGATTCAAGTTGAATCAGTCTCGGCAAAGTGGACTGTGTAATTATCGAGTATTAGCTAGTAGCGGGGCTACATAGCGCTGCACAGCCAATGGGAAGAAACCAAACCAACCAAACCCGTCTCGGAATATCACCGGGAGTAGCACTCCGGTGCCCACTGATCTCTATGCTGGGGCACGGGTAGTGGCTTGCAGTCGAACTGTGACGCGGGACTCCTTATCTAATCTATAGCGGGGCACCCCGGCTCCGAGGTATCACAGTTCCACGCCAACCTCGGGTTTCTGGTGACTCGACTCAACAGCTCCTACCAAGTCCAGTACCGGCTGCAGGTCTGCTGATTACTTCCACTACGCCGCGGTTGTCGCGCTGTCCCGTCCTTGTCGTAGATCTATCTTTGACCTCTTTACCGATATCCCTTACCTTTGGAGCTCGTCTCCGCGGCCCTTGGGTCAATGGTACCGAGGGATTGACTTTGCTCTGCATCTCCTTAAACCGCCTCTCAGTCCAGTCGAAGACGTGGTCATATTTGAGCCCCTTCGCTTGAAACAGGCAACAAAAAAGCTGGCGAAGGTACGAGTAGTCCGGCTCGTCATCGAATGCCAGGCCCCGGGTGTATTTGATGTACGTGGCGAATTCTCCGGGAAGAAAGCCATCGCAGAGCGCCTCGGCCGACAGGCTCTTCTTCATCTCCTTGATCCTTGCGTCCTTTTCCTTGTCCGTGGCGACCTTCGGACCCTGCCATGGCAACGAGCCCCGGGTAAGGTACACGATGACGTACCAAGGGACTCGAGATCATCCCCCAAAGACTGTTCTTCGTGCGCGTTAGCGAGCGGACGATCATATCGGGGTGGGGCACCTCCCACGGCCGTTGTGATTGTTGATGCTGGCGTACGACTTGTGCCGCCTAGCGCGAGACCTTAGACGTGCTTGTTGCGCTCGGCAATTTAGCTTCACGTGCGGAGGATGTTTCCGTCTCCTCGGGCTGCTAGCACTGCAAAGCACTAAACTCTCGCGATGCCCTTGTGGTAGTAGGCATCGGGCGTCGCGCGCTTGTTTCGGCGCCGACACGAGCCGGCTCCAAATTCACGTTCAAGGAGGTCTCGGTACATCCTCCGGAATAGCGCGGCTCGGGTTTTCGCTAACAGGTTGATCGTGCCGCCCCGCCCCAAAGCTAAGCACGGAAATCCGCGAAGCCGGACAACTGGTTGAGGACACGGTCACCACGTCAAGAAGAGCCACACGCGATGGCGCGAACGACCGTGCCGAGAGGCACACCAGTATCACAGATGTGAATGTAGCCAACCGGCAAGTCGAGGCGAGAAAAATGTTCCTGGAGGTCCTAAGTACATTGTCTGGCTTTGGCGCTGCCGCTAACTAGATCGCGGTCCGCGGCCCTCTCCTGCAGGGCTCTCTCCAGACCCCTGAGCGAGTCACGCAGTCGAATGCGAAACCGCAACGAAAGACTCCGCCCTCGCCATCTTCGACCTTTCCGCCCTGGTTCTGTCCATCCATTCCTGCACCTTCTCCACCGCCACACGGGCCGAGCCTCTGTGTTCCACCAGGAAGGATTGAATCTCGGCCGGGGAGAACTCCCCTTCCGGTATTTCCCTCGCGAATTCGCCCGCACATCGCTTCACCGTCTCGTCATCTTCAAAAGGTTGCTTGGGATCGAGGATGTCGCCTTCCGATTGCTTGAAGATCATGTAGAAGAGTCGGAACATCACGTCCTTGTCGGCATTCGGAAGCTCGATTTTCTTGTCTACACGGCTAGCCCGGATGAGTGCCTGATCTAGATGGTCCAAGTGATTCGTCGTCATTATGAGCAGCCGACGCTCATGTGACGATACGCCATCGAGAGCGTTGAGAAGCTCCGATAGCGACAGCTTCCCTTGAGATCGGGGCCGGTCCCGGGCGGCATCTTCCTTGGCTTGGCTGATGTCCGTTTCGCTTTGCCGAGGCTGCGCTATACCAACAGCGTCCACGTCTTCCAGCAGGAGGACACAACGAGGCGGGAGTTCCGCAAGCAGAGAGTTTAGGGAGTGGCTTCCGACGGCAGAGATGTTGAGGATGTAGACGTCCAAGTCAAAGCGCCCCGCCAAAGACAAGCACAAACTGGACTTCCCGGTCCCAGGCGGCCCGTAAAGCAAGTATCCCTTTCGGTAAGGGATGCCACGGCTGAGATGCCATGCGGGAGCTTCCTGATGCAAGAAGCCTTCGATGTCCTGTATGAGTGCCGCCTTCACCTCCTCATTCATGACAACAGTGGAGATTGGCCTGATGCTCTTCACGTGCGTCCAAGATGGACAAGGAGGGGTATGTATCAATCGAAGCGGTATGTGCATGTGGCATATTGAGTACGCCGCATCTTCACAAGATAGAGTTATCATAAGAAGGAAAACAGCTACAACAAGCCAATGAATAGTCCGCGTCCTGTCCAAAGCCCCCCGAGCCACAAAGCCGATGTGATCGTCTATCCCATATTGTCCCGGCTCCAGCAGCATCATGCCCGGGGTCCCATGATTGACCTCCGCGCGTGAGTGGCCCGCCGTACAACGAAGAGCATTCCTACCGAGCCCGGCCAAAAGGAAGACTCTGATTGTTGCACAAGTAAGCCATGTTCCCGAGTTTCAAGACGAGCCACCTGTTGAGATCGAGACGTGTTGGCGCTTGCCCACAGGTTGCATTGCCGCTCGGACCCTAGCGCCGTGTCGTGTAAGAAACCGTGCGAGTCTGAACGACGACTCTTCGGACCTCACATCTTGTCCTTGCAGGGGCCATATTGCAGACTGCAGCCCAGGCCGTGACTACAAGTGAAAGACTTTCGCACGCCAAAGTGCTTTAGTGACTGGGCTTTGTCGATCACGTAGATTGCAAAAGCGTCCGAGGAGAACTCTATATCACTAGAGAACATACAGTAAGTGTCGGGTCATCGTCACATCTGACAGATGTCTCGCCATATTTGTAACTAGGGTGAAGTATATTTGCTACAACTCCGGGCCTTGTCCTTAAGCAAATAAACTTATGCGGGCGGCGGCCCGGGGATCGCAATAGCCCCAATCTGAGCAAGCATGCCAAAGATATCCGGAAGCCCGCGCTCCTCGACAATCTTGCCGTCGGCAAACCTGTAGATGTTGAAGGCCTGCGAGCTGATTTGCTTGCCCGTCGCCGGGGTGCCGAGGAAGTTGCCCTGGTGCGTGCCCGAGATGGCGAACCGCGCAACGACCTTGTCGCCCTCGACAATGGCCTCCTGCAGGGACCACTGGATGTCCGGGTAGGCGCCGCGCATCATGCCGAGGATCTGCATGTAGGCGCCGAGGCCCTTGAGCGGGGGGCCGCCAAAGGGGACGTGGAACTCGGCCGACTCGGAGACGACCTCCTTGCCGATGGTCTCGTCGCCCGAGTTGATAAACTCGAGGAACCGGTCCATGCGAGCGCACAAGTGCTGGGACGTAGTCAGCATTGTAGATTCCAGACTTCGGACCGTGGAGAGGGAGAACGAACCTCGCGGTTGCTGCCGGCGGAATCGGAGCTAGTACAATGTTAGCAAGTGAGGCTGTAGTGGATTTGACGTCTGGGTGTGGTAGGGAACTCACTTGGACATGGTTGTGGCGGGTAGTGGAAGAACAGGTGTCAAGATGGGTGGTTTGTTTGGTGGTTTTCGACAGGCTGGGAAGACGAGGAAATTCAGAGTTGCAGACGGGGGAGCTGAGAGGAATCTTTATAGTTCATGTGGTCACAACTCGATCGCTCCAGCCCTCAAGTGTCTGCCAGACTTTAAGCCCGAGTCGCGGCGCAGACGCGGTTGTATCCTCGTTTTACACCCCGCCCATCCCACATCCCGCCACCAGGTGGGATGACGCCTCGCCAACTATGGACGCAGACGTGCATGAGCCCCAGTCACGACCCATGTGAAATCCCACCCTGCTCCGAGGGGTGGGCTGGTGGGATCGTGTCGGCTGTGGTCCACGGCCGCCTGTCACGAGTCATGTCATCCCACTCTCCTCCGAGTTGTGGGACGAAGGGCGGCTAGATCTGGACTAGGTTTCTGCAGTGTCACGGAGGAGCCTGCGAAGTGCGGAGCACTGACGTACGGGGCAGCACAACTGCCGGCCTGTCTTCGGCAACGTCCAGCATGACTGCCACGTAAAGCACATAAGTGGAATCTTTGAACAGATGGGCAAGGGCACGCAAGCACGCTGGGAACGCATCAAAGCCAACTAGGCCGCAGTAGACCTGTTCTTCAAACACATACTAGATTCGTAGTTTCTGGGAATACACTGCGAGCTCGTCCTGGGGCTCCTTACCTTAAGGTAGGCGCGTTCAAATCAGGGGGTCACATGCCGCCGGAGGGCTACAACTGTCAGATCATGTCTTGGCCGGAGCCCACCTGAGTCGGCAGGCACAAGATGTGCCATCGCAGTTTGGTGCTTGAGGCACCTGGTGATTCTGCAAGCAGAAGAAATTTGCTTCTGATGTTGGCTGCGTTGAGCTCAAGAGACCGACAGCGTCACAAGCCTTCGTGAGGACTACATGCAAGCGGTATTCGTCTAGGACAAGGGATTTCTAATGCCGTGAAAGAGATCAATAATAGTGTAGCCCGCTGCAGAGTATTACAGTGAGGAGACATATCATTTATAGCAAAGATCCACCCTGAGCAAAAGTCGGAATCCTCTTAAGCGAAAGGCCAGCTGTTTAAGAACTTTTACTTGGTGCTTATCTGGACTTTTACGCACACTGACTTGGTGTCGAAACAGTACATAAGCCCCTTCATCCTGTCGGTGGGTCAATGTGCAAGGAAGAGTAGGGGACCGAGGAGCTTCGCAAATCTGAATAGACAGGGATTTGCTTTTAGTCGTCGTCAATGTCGAGTAACAGGTTGGGAGATTCAGACGGCTTGGTCAAAAGTATACCTTCGTTTAGGGTGTGCTGCTTGCTGCAGTTCTGTGGACCTCTGATCCTCTGAACCTCTGGATGTCCTCCATGGCTCTTCCACATGGCTGTCGGATCAAGTAAGCGTTTGGACAAATTGTCCACTGCTTGCATGACATTGAAGATCTGATGGCTGAATGTAAGGTGAGCGGAGAGAGTAGCACGATGTCCTACTGTATTATTCCACGGGGGATTTAGTCTAAATCCCCGGGTTCCACACGCCCCACATGTCCGACAGCATCCCTGCATATCGTGAAGTCTCTCTCATTCTCTTCATAGACATGTCATGTCCTACGAAACGTCTGTGCGCATTAGAGGTACGCGTCATTCCAACCCCTTTTTCCGCGGATTTAGTCTTAGTTCGTTACCCCAGATTTCCCTTCTCTTCCCAGTAACCCACGATCCACCGACAATCCACAATACTAATAGCAGTAGAACAGCCTGTAGTATTACGATGCGATGCGGAACCACGTACCGACCAACTCAGCAACGACGCCGGAAGGCCACAAGGATCCCGACCCCGTTTTCACATACCTTCAGCTTTACGCCGATCCAACATACAATGTCCTGATCTGCCGCAGACCCGATTGTCGACACGCGATTTCCCCACATGGAGCCCAGGTCACCGCACACCTGTGGAATAAGCACAGTATCCCTCTAGCCGAGCGCTTAGGACTTCCAGAGCATATACGCGATCACTACTCTTCAGGCTTCCGCAATCCTACAGAGGCAGCTCTGCCGCCGTCTAGTTCCAGGCCCCATCCGCATCTCCAGACCTACGATGGCTTCAGCTGCCGCGAATGCGTCTTCTTGACAATAAGCTTCCATGAGCTTACGAGGCATATCTCGCAGAGCCACCTCGACGGGCAAACCGCGACCCGACCGCGGATTGGCCTACTCTACGACGATGTCTACCTACAGTCTTGGGGAGGCGGCCCGAATCGACGATATTGGACTGTAACCGATGCAGATGGGAAAACAGGTCGTCTAGCCCCTGGCCGCGTAGCAAAACAACCCCCCCCCCCCGAGACGCCCGAACGACCTGTTTTCTCGGAGTACGATTCGACAAGGAAAGACCTAAACGATAGACGGACTGCTATCTCTCAGAGCAAGCCATGGCTAGACCGGACGGGATGGCAGCAGATCTTCGAGGGCGCCAACTGTGCAGTGCTGAAGGCCCTCACAGCTATACCCTGCAATCCACCCACAAGACTCCTTCACCTTGGAAGAGGACTATATCCTACAACCACTCCCTACATTAGTATTCGAGCAGACGAGATAAAGATATCCGGGCTCGTTACTATGGTCGACTGGGTACTTTTTCGCTGTGAGCAGACAGCCCGCGAAACTTCTCGTGCAGTCCTCTGCTGGTTCCGAAGCCTCCACCCAGACAAGATCTATCCCAAGCCATTTACACTAGTATCGGCAAGATCGAGCCGACAGAAGTATCTCAAGACCTTCCAGCGTTTCATCGCCTTCATCTTCCGTACCTACCGCCTACCAAGCTTCCAACGACAAGACCTTCTCCCCGTCCGATTTAATTCGGAGCAGCAGCAGCTACTTGGTACTATCTGGCCCCACGAAGCTTGGAACGAGGAACAGCTCCTTCGGTGGATCCTAGCTGGAAAGCCCGCTCGTCAGCTGCGGCCGACAGCTAAGGAAGAACGGCCTACTCCAACACCGAGTAATAGGGAACAGAAACAGTCCGTCTCAAAACCCTTAGCCAAACGTCTGTCGAGAAAACGCTCGTTTAACTCCTATCGGCAAGACACCAAGTCGGACTCCCAACGAGATACCACTAAGATACGTAGGGACGACGAAGACGACGAGAACGACGAAGACGACGAGGACGATAATAAGAGCGGCCACTCCGACGAAGATGTCAGCGACTCGGAGCTCAGCGACGGACAAAGCGAGACAACAGACAAGGTCCAAGACGCAAGTACACTGCAGAATCAAGTGATCGTCCTCAGCCCAGCACTGAGCCAGCTTCTCGAATTGCTATTCAAGCTGTGTATTACATTCTGTACCGAAGACTTCGCCGACGGCTATCCCAGCTCAACCCATCTCGTGTACTTCAGTGGTATTCTTAGCATCAACCCAGACGGCAGAGGCTTTCGCACAGCAAAGCTTTATACACCATTCCTTTCAGCCTTGATCTACAACCAGCGACTTCTCTTCCTAGAATATGCCCTACCTCTTCGAGCATATGAGCATATTGGGATTCCCCGGCGACCGCGACATCGGCAATTCGAGCGGCTCGATACAGTACGGCATAGGTATATGCTTACTAAGTCGATGACGCCCCTGACCGAGATGCTAAGCCTTCGTGACTACGGAAGAGTGATCGCTAGGACAGACACCCCGTCATTCTTTCTCCACTGGAGCGACGATCTCCAAACGGTATCATACGGGGACTCATTTACCATCACTATGGACACCTTCCGACAGTTATCAGAGCACTTCATCGGGCACGCAGAGGAGCTCTGCGAGCAGCTCATGCTTGGTCTCCAGGTGGACGTTCATCTTGAGAGAGTCAAAGACGACCTCGTCAATGCGAAAGATGGGTTCAGTTTCATCAGCCACCCGCATAACAAACTGTCCCACGCCTATGCCCAGCTACTTAAACAGGCCTGCACTCCGTATTCCGGACTGTTCGACGAGAGCCACGGGACATGGAAAGCTACCGCAGTCGCCCGCTACCAGAAGACAGCAGAGAGGCTGCTCGAGTTCCTTGCAGGTTGTTTCCATACGACAAGCGGCCAGACTGGTCGGTCATCGGAGCTCTTCAGCCTTACATACCAGAACAGCGCTTTCGGCGAACGCGGACTATACATCCACAATGGCTCAGTCATGACGCTCACACGGCATCACAAAGCAAAGCGTTCAACCAATTGAGAATTCAACGTTGTACGCTTCCTTCCTCTCCGAGTCGGCCGGGTTATATTTCGATACCTTGTCTACATCCGTCCTTTCCTTACAACGCTTGGTAAAGAGCCGGTCTCCAGCCAGAGATCGTTATCAGGGCATATTGTCTCGCCGCCCCTACTCTTCAGCTCGGGAGTAGACAGATCAAAGCCTTGGGACGCGTCAAAGCTCGCGGCTATCTTTATGAAGGCGACATCCGTCTGCTGGGATACCTGTGTTAATCCTCAGATATACCGGCAAATCGCTATTGGTATTACCGAGAAGCACGTCATCGAGATTGCTACGCCATTCAACCGGTATGACGACCTTGGCCCGAATGCGAGCATCAATGCCGTCTTTGCCTGGCAGAGCAGCCATCGCCCTATTCAGCGCGCAACTACATACGGACTCGACGGAGCTTTCCCTTCGCAACTTCAGCCAGCCCTTATCCGCATCTATGAGTGGGCGTCCTTTCGCTGGCACGAGTTCTTACATCAACCGAGTCGACGAATGCCTCCAAACACCCGCTCGTCGTATGACGAGCTACGACCGCTTGTTAGTAAGCAGCAGGACTGCCCTCAGCTGGAGGGTTTGCAAGACCAAGACCTAGGAACAAACGAAGACAATATTGAGACTGAAGCGACAGTACGAGCGATGATCCGTCCACCAACCCGTCCACCAATTCAACCGGTTGATAAACTGGTTTATATCGACACGACCCGCAACGTTACTATCTGTCTCCTCTGCCGGCTGGGAATTAAACCAGGTAACGGTACTGTTGTACATTTCCGGGGCAGACACAGTATGAAGGGAGATGAGCTACAGGACATTCGCAGAATTTGTTTCCAACCTACGCTTGTCGATCCGTTTAGCATTCCGGTCCCGGACGACAATACTTCACCATTGGACTATTTACCGATCTTGAGAGGGTTTAGCTGTACAGGTTGCCGCTTCCTAACAATCTCTAATAAGAACATACGTAAGCACTGGAGAGCGACGCATTGGAAGGGGATACAGTTTGACGTGGTACCCGACGATATATATAGCACTGTACAGTTACAGAGCTTCGGGGTACACTCGCGTGCTCAGTACTGGATAGTTGAGAGCGATATTGAGGGAGAAGATACTATAGAGTAAGAGTAGTTTAGAAGGATAGTAGAGATAGTAGAATCAAAGTTTCATTACGCTATTTGTATAAGTTATCTCCTGCTCTATAGTAGTGTTACAGGCGACCTCTTTCTACCGTTGCGCCTACCAGGCGAATATAAGCCTTCCCAAGCTATTTATGGCTTAGCCGCTGCTTGGCCAGCCCTGTCATCTGAGTACAGTTCTACTGCCTCTGCCGTCTCTGCTGTCTCTGCCGAACCCTACGAAGCGCTTGTTTTTAGGTTATAATTCTGCAACTGATTAAATTACTATTTAAATTCAGCTCGCTCATATTATCTCTCCTACCTCCGTACATACTGTAACCTCTGCCTCCTGTGTTAGCTACTCTGGACAGCTTATCTTAAGTAAGTATTACACGACTCGGGCAATTACCCCTCGTTTCCAGCCCGCCTCCGTGGCGTCGGGTCAAATCTGCTTTTCCTACTTCATATCCCTGCCCATGCCTGTCTCGGTTATCGTCTGCTAGTGCTCTCGGCCCCTCCTGTCTTCTGTAACTTACCCGGCCCGCTTACATTCTACTGGCTGACTGTAGGTATATAACCCTGCCTATGCACCTCGTACAGCTTATACCATATCCGCTAAGTTGCATGTGGCTTCGCCGCAGCCTTGATAGTCCTGTCTCGAAGCCTCTTGCTTCTTCCTATGTATTCCCTAACCATTATTGCCGGGCGGGAAGCCCTGACCATCATTCCCGGCCGGGTTGGCCTCACTTTCGGCGATTCCTGGTGGGACAGGGGGCCGGGGGCACGGGCCATTGAGTCCATTCCGGTACCCCAACTAACCCCAGATTGAGTTCATTCCGGCCAGCGAAAAATGGGCTAACCCACAGCTAACCCAACCCCAAGCCCAACCCCAACTAGCAGGGGTCCGAACCTGTGGGGCCCAGTCGCGCCCTCATATGCGTACATGCACAGGCCGCACGACGACGAGGGAGGCGCGTCGACTGCCAGAGCAAGCAGGCAGGCAGAGGCGCGCGCAAAAGAGAGAGGCAGAGAGAGGAGGGCCAAAAAAATGCCACGCCTAGGAGTCGAACCTAGCTCTTCAACTGTGACTAGCTCGAGCGTCCGGGTCGGATGGCTCCACAAGCTCAGGTCAGGGACCCTTATTCCTGCGGCCGACGTGGGAATGGAGAGCTATATAGCAGTGACGTCATGACCGCTAGACCAGCGAGGCTCTCTGGCTGTTTGTTGAATAGTCAGTCGCTTATTTGGATATATAAGGCTCAGGCAGGCAGGCAGGTCGGCAGGCAGGTCGGCAGGCTGGTCGGCAGGCAGGCCGGCAGGCAGGTCAGCAGGTAGTTCGGCGGCAGCGGTAGCAGGTCGGCGGAGTAGTGGCAGTTCGTCGGAGCCGGTAGCAGGTCGGCAGGTAGTTAACATAGCGAAAATACCTCCGAAGCGGAGGAAGGGGTGCCGGCAAAAAGAGCTACCCACTTGAGAATCTCTACGAGACGAAGAGATTCTCAAGTAGGCGCAGTAATCCGGCCCGGAGTTGAACCAGGGATTCCGCTTAGCAATTGCTAGCGACGTCTTACCGCTTGACCACCGGGCCTGTTTGTTCTTAAGAGACTGGCTGCTTATTTGGATATATAGGGTCTGGCCGTGGCAGGCTGGCAGAGGTCGGCAGGTAGGTCGGCGGCGGCGGCGGTAGCAGTTCGGCGGCGGTAGTAGTTCGGCAGAGGTATAGTAGTTTAGCGGCGGTAGTAGTTCGGCGGCGGAGGTAGGTCATTCCCGGCCCGGAAGGGTACGGGCTATTAAGTTCATTCCGGTACCCTGAGTTCATTCCGGCCAGCGTAAATGTGCTAACCCCTGACCATCATTCCCGGCCGGGAAGCCCTCACTTTCGCGCATTCCTGGTGGGACAGGGGGGCGCGGGCACGGGCCATTGAGTGCATTCCGGTACCCCAAGTTGAGTTCATTCCGGCGCGCCAAAATGGGCTAACCCCCAGCTAACCTAACCCCAACTCCAAACGTAACCCAAACCCCAAGTGGCAGGGGTCGAACCTTAACCCCCAGCTTAGCCACGCGTGTGCGGCCAGGTGCTGCTACAAGAAAGGGAGAAGGTAAGTAATAGGTAATAAAATGAGATGAGCGCGTACGCGTAATAGGACTAGCCCGGGAGTCTAAAGGAGGGAACGCGCGTGAGAGGAGAGGCAGGACGAGGATGAAACGGACACGCGTACGCATTCCGATTGAACTGTGATGCTAGCTTAGGGTCTCTTCCCAATAATATACGCGAGAGTCAAAGATCAGAAGCAGCACCGAGAATCACATACACAGGTAGCAAACACGATGGACCGCAGCAGCCAGGGAGGCGACTACGAGAGCGATCACGGCAGCGCCGCGCAGCAGCAGCAGCAGGACGCGAGAGCTGCAGCAACGACCGAGCCAGCAGCGACACTAGAGCTCTATCTATACCGGGCGAGCCGCGTACTAATCTGCACGCTATGTAGGGCAGGAATCGCAGCGGCCATAGGCGGTATAGTTACCCACTACCGACAGAGGCACCAGCTCAAGGGCGGCCAGCTACGGGCAGTCAAATCGGCCGCGGCAGCGGCAGCAGTAGCAGTTAAAGGCCGTGGAGGGCTCGCAGAGCCACACGAAGCAGAGGTACCGGCAGACGGTAGTCCAGCCATCCCGCAGCTTCAGGTCCACTCCGGATTCTGCTGCAGGGCATGCCGATTCGTAACGAGGAGCCGGGACGAGGTCCAGAAGCACCAGGCGAGAGAAACAGCTGGCGGCGATGCTAGGCACGGCGAGGGTTCGCCAGGCACGGGCCACGCGCTAGCGGCAGGGCGGCAGGCGACCCCAGAGGCGACAGCGGGGCCGGACGGCGGCGGTGGAGGTGCAGTCTGGGAGGCCCACATAGCGGCGTACGAGGCTAAAGCGGCCGCCGAAGAGGCGGAGCGGGGCCGGATTATCGACTACGAGGCCGGCGTCGACTTCGAGTCGCCGTGGGTGGGCCAGATGGGCTGGGCGGCGCATCTAGCCGGCAAGGATATGGCGGAACTACGGCGCGCCGCCGAGCCAGGCCTATCGACGAAGGAGCTAGCTAAGCTAAGCCAGGCGGTACGGAAGGAGAGAGAGGCTTTAGAGGCGGCGCTCGTACGGCTAGGCCAGAGCTTCAACCGGGTAATCGAGCGGTGTAGCCGGCGGATCAGCCAGGTGCCCGTGGAGACGCTCTGCTGGCTAGCAAGCCGCGACCCGAACCGGCCGTCGCCGCAGCCGTTCCGCGTAAAACAGGAAGCGCACACGATGGAGAAGTACCGGAGCCACTGGCGGCGCTATCTCTGCTACTGCGTCCGGGTCTTCCGGCTCGGCCGTACGGAGGCGAGGAGGAAGTACCAGGTCCAGTTTACCGACAAGCAATGGGCCGCTCTCGAGGCCGTTACGGAGGCTCTCGATAATGCGGAGGAGGAGAGCTCCCGGGTAGGAGGCGGCGGCGAGGAGGAGGAGGAGAAGAGCGAGAACGACGGATATCTAGACGAAGCCGTCTTTACGTTTTGTATTCTGTCGCTTACGCAGCAGGTACTAGTACGACCGTAGGTAAACCCGCTACTCCACTTCACTACAGTACTCGCGATCGACCCCGTCCGAGCACGATTTCGGCCGCCAGCCGAGTTTACAACACTACTAGCAGGTCTAGCATGGTGTAGCCGCGTACTACTACTAGAGTACTTCTTCGAGCACGTCCCGATCCAGGAAGAGGACAGTACTGCGGACTCCGGCGAAGGGGAGGACGAAGGGCGTAGCCAGCTCCAGGCCAGGGATATTGACGTATTTATGGACGGTTACCGGCAGTGGATCGCAGACGGCTCGTACAGCCCGTTTAGTACGCTAACCCGATTCTTAACGATCGGAAAGGGCTACCGCCAGAAGGAAGGGGGGGGCAGCACGGATCATCTGGGAGGACGGGAGGCAGGCGCTCCGGCTA